GTTATTTTTGGTGATACTAATAGAAAGAGGAATGCAAAGTCCACATTCACGTCCAACAAAACCTCGAAGGCAGTTCAGGATCAGTATCTACAAAATCTGCATTTGAACAACCTATAGTATATTTACACTGTACATGCTCGAGGCATACGCACAACTTTACAGTACACGCAGTAGAGAAGAGAGCCCACACATGTGCTGTTTAAGCCTGGCCACGTCCACACCGCTCTAGGATCTCAAATAAAACGTCTGTGCGAGTGAGTTTCGCCGAAGTTTTGACGACTTTTTAAGGACTTTTCCCTTTATTAAGACGTACAACATATAAATCTGTGTATCATTGGTTAATTCGTTTTTCAAAATAAAACCAAAAAATAAGAAAAAACAAACAAAAAAACAAAAAAAACTTCTATTTTCTTCATTATTTGTCTCCAAAACCAAAAGTTTTCGATTTTGTATTTAAATGAATAATGTAAAAAAAACGGATAACAGCTGTTTCCCGTTTCCGTGACTTAAACTGTGATGCCAAACTGAACCAGGACTGAGCCAGGATTACACCAGAACTCAACCAGGTCTAAACCAGGACTAAAACAAGACTAAACCAGGTCTTAACCAGGACTAAACCAGGATTACACCAGAACTAAACCAGGTCTTAACCAGGACTAAACCAGGACTAAACCAGGACTACACCTGATCTAAACCAAGTCTAATCTTGGTCTAATCTTGGACTTGAGAGTGAGAGAGAGAACCCCGAGTCCGTGGAGCAGGGTGTTCACAAAGCGCGATCGGGCGATGCGGTCACCCGATGGTCTACACGGGCGGACCTCTGAGCTCGTCCTGACACTAGTTCAGTCCTGGCTTAGTCCTGGTTTAGTCCTGGTTCAGTCCTGGTTTAGTCCTTCTTGTTCAGTCCTAGTTCAGTCCTGGTATAGTCCTCCTGATTCAGTTCAGGGATCAGTCCTGTTTTAATCCTAGTTCCAGGTTTAGTCCGAGTTCAGTCCTGGTTTAGTCCGTATGCGGCACAAAAGTCCGGCATCGCAGTTTAAGTTACGGAAACTGAAAAAACAATTATCCGTTTTTTCATTTTGGTTTTGGAGACAAATAATGAAGAAATTGTTGTTTTTTCATTTTCTTATTTTTGGTTTTATTTTGAAAAACGAATGAATGAATGATACACGGATTCATATATTTGGTTAGTCTGGTGTATTTCAATCGATTCAGTGCTCAATCAGTATAACTTTTATAATATTATAATTATATAGAGAGCAAATTTGTCCAACTTGTAGAAATATGAGAAACCAGAAACCAAGGAACTTTGAATTTCTAGTCAAGATTGATGATGACCAAACCAAGCTGATATAAAAGCAGTTTCATTTTCAACATTTTATTTGAAACTTCGTCAGTGTGGATGTGGCCATAGATTTGTTTGGATCTCACGCAAAAATAAACGAAAAATGCATCGAAACGAAATTTTATTATTCGTATTTGCTCTATATAATGAGGACTCTCAGAAATGTATGTTTATGGACCACGAAACGTTAAAAAACTTTCTCAACCCAAATCCCGACAAACGCTCACACCTTATTGCAATTTCGATACCTTCGCGACTGTCCGTAAGAACGTTTTATTTGCTTCGAAAACGATGTGAAACTCTGAAAGCGCGATGTGTAACTTTTCTGCTGGAAGGTCCGTCGCCAGCATGTTGCCTGGAATGTTCCGCAGTTTGGCATTACGCTTATTTATCTCTACGGCGACGGCAGAAGAACCGACGGGAGAAGTTTTGAAGTCGATAAAAACGCACGTTATTGAGTAAATGCAAGATGGATACGTTTAATGCCATACTGGGATATTCGGGCAAAAACAAAACAGCAACATCTCCTTGGCGACGAGCAGAAAAGTTACACAGCGTGGCTTTAAGATAACAACACAATGCAATTTTGAGGAATCGATTCCACTGAAACATGGGCTCACAATTCATGGCTTGACATTTGGCCTGATAATGTTTTTTTTTCTTCATAATTATTTTTGGCAAGCACATTCCACATAGAAAAAAACAAAACAAAAAAGAGATGCCATAGCTTGAGCTGTTCTCGACAATAACTATTTTACATTCTGTACAAGCTCTGAGTGCTATAAAGTGTACAAATCCAGGGGAAAAGGGAGGTGGGCTTGTGTCTTTTTAAACGACCGGATTTATAGAAGGAGCTACCGGGGAACCTTCTGGAACTTAAAAGTGCACATGACAGGTTAGAGTACTCATTTCATTAAAGCATAGTCAACATAATTGTATTTCAGATGTTATTTTCTACTTTTTAAATGAAGGTGAGTTTATAATTTGACTTCCCTGGCTGGTCGTAACTGTTACCTAGCAACCGTAACATTAAAAAGACCCCAAACATGTTTAAATTACACAATAGTTATGATTTGTTAAGCGTGCATTGCGCAACTTTTCTAGGGAAAGGTCGCTACCTTTTGCCTAGAATGTTCCAGGGTATGACTTTAAACATATACATCTAGCATTTAATCATTACGGGTGTTTTTATCGCCTAAAAATACTTAAAAATATTCAAAAATACTTAATTCTTTCTGTGAATAGGAGCGACTCTCCACAGATCTGAATTGTAATGTGTGGTAACCTGCTTTTATCTATTGTGATTGACAGATTTAGGTTTAATCTATATTCTGGAACATTCTAGACAAAGTGATAACATTTACATGGCCACAAGCAGGTAGTGGACTCTATATTAAAAATGTTACACAGTGTGGTTTTAAATTTTAGAGTTTATGATTTGATTTGACTATGAGAAATAAATTAAAACACCTTTATTTAGTTAAATTATGGTTAAATTTTTTAACTTGTGCGTTGTCCAGGCCCCAGCATTTTAGGGGGCCTTTTCCTATGAATTTATATTAGAGGGGGGCCCGTGGGAGGCTTCTTGCCACAAGCCCTCAAATTTCTGTCGACGGCCCTGGGTACTTCTTATATTTTTGTATTTTTCTTCTCAACTTGTTTACACAAACTTAACTGATGTAAAACTACGAAACATATTTCACTCAGGTACAGTCCCACCACACCAAGTCCAAAAAAAAAAAAAGAAAAACCTGTCATATGCACTTTCATCTGATTGTCCTTCACTCAAAACTCCTCATTTTAGTCTAAATTTATCTTTCTTAAACACATTCTCAGTACTTTCTCCATGACCTTACAATTACTATAAGCAAATACACATTTAAACTGGCTTTAACAAAATATTCTGAATGATCTTTTTGTGACATTCAAATCCAGTTGGAGTTAAAAAGAGTTAAAAACCAAGCCACGTATTCGCTTCGATTTTCATTCAAACTTTCCAAATTTCACAATCCTTCTTGTTGGTTACACCATCTGCGTCCATCTTCTGAGTAAGTCTCCCAATCTAATTCAGAAATCCAAACTCCATTATTCAATTATGTCTTACAGCTACATTACTTCGCCCACTTTGTTTTTGACGTGTTTTTTCTCAATGAGATTTAGTGCACATCTATCAGGCATAACAATGAGACCACTGACATTATTACAGAGTGACTATTTCAGACCTCGGAAAGAACTTTACTTTGCAGACCGATATATTTGAAGAGGAACTATGTAACTTTTCTGGTTGAGGCTCTGCCAATCTGTTAGTAGGGATGCACCGATCCAATACTGGTATTGAATATCGGTTTCCAAATATCTGTTCATGTCCTGGTTGGACGTACCGTATTTTCCGGACTAAAAGGCACACCGGATTATAAGGCGCAATATCAGTAATGTTGAATTCTCTCGTCTATTTTCATACATAAGGTGCACTGGATTATAAGACACATTAAGCGTAACAAATGGACGAAACTTGAGGCTGATCCCTTAGCCCAGGCATCCACGATCCATCGGCAGATTGTGGCATAATTCACCCAGCGTTGCCTCCCTGTCTTGGTGAATGTGGATTATGAATGTGAATGTGGGTGGATCATTTAAGTTTGTAAGTTTTATTTCCTACGAGGACGACTCAAATATACATTGAGTAATAATGTGTTTAATGCAGCTTTACGCACATTTGTTTACATTTTAACAGAAAATCACATGGCTCATTTGGAGAAACTATAAGCGCTGAAAAACAGCTCGCTCCTTGTGCGCTGATGCGGTTCAGCTTCTATTGAACTAACGGACATGACTCGGTGGAATATGAGTGTTCTTTCTGTGACAGAGGATGTGACTAAACAAGGACTAAACCAGGTCTAAACCAGGTCTAAAACCAGGTCTAAACTAGATCTAAACCAGGTCTAAACTAGGTCTAAACCAGGTCCAAACTAGGTCTAAACCAGGTCTAAACTAGATCTAAACCAGGTATAAACTAGGTCTAAACCAGGTCTAAACTAGATCTAAACCAGGTCTAAACTAAGTCTAAACCAGGTCTCCAAGTGTTCTTTCTGTGACAGAGGATGTGCTGCTGATGGTGTTACTCTGCGAGGCTCCTACCTAAAGTAGCCGTAATGCAATCCATCAAGCGGTGTGGCTTCGTAGTTTACCAAAGTCATACTAAAACATTTTGACAGATTTTTGAGCGCCGTGTACCACATAAAATTGGTTCGAGGTCACTAAAGGCGCACTGTCACTTTTTGAGAAAATTTAAGGATTTTAAGTGTGCCTTATAGTCCGAAAAATACGGTAATAAGACTATGTACTGGTCATAGTTGGTTCATATAGTCTCTTAGTTTCGAACTGGTATCAGAATCAAAAAAGCTGGATCAGTGCGTCCCAACCTCTCCATAGAGATTTGTCTGGAATGTTCCACAGAATGGCATTACATTGCTTAAACAGCTCATGGTAAGAATTCAGATTTTCAAGGAGCTATTGGCAATAAATACACCTGTAATTTCCAAAATGTGAAATATTTATTATAAGGTTGAGGCCATTCCAGTCATCTCCATGGAGAAAAGCAGAAAAGTTGCATACTGAACCTTTATTTTATTATTATTTTTAAAGCTTAAGATGGTATTTGACTAAAAAATCTATGCCGTTTGTGGTCATAATGTTTTGGCTGATTTGTGTACGACCTTTTTACAATCCCAAAACATTTTTAGTGCTTTATCTTCAAATTTTTTCCCCATGTCAGCTCCTTCTATCCATGTCGACTTGGGTCCCATTTCTTCTCACCATCAAACCATTCACTTTAGTCCTGTCTCTCACACTTCTGTTTGTTGTTGCGATTCCGTTGTTATGGTAACGCCTCGCCTCAGCTCCTCCATACTGTCCCTCTCTGAGTTTGTCTCCGAATCCATGGCGCACGGATTGGAGACGTCGGAAGTCGAAGAAGCTCCGATGGAAAGTTCCTCGTTTTGGCTCGGCGTCCCGTCCCCTAGCGGTAACTGGTGAGGGGGCAGGTACTGGCTGGGGTGAAAGCCTAAAGTGTTCTCTTTCGCCCCCTCCTGTTGGCTGTTGGAAATGTGCGTATAGCTGTCGGCGTAGTCCTCCGCGACCTGACTGGGCAGCGGGACGGGAAGTTGGTCCCCGCTAAACAAGTCCTCGTCCTGGGGAGGGGGGTAGTCACTGTCTATGTCGTACCCGCCCAGATAGTAGTCCGACTCCAGCTCGCGCGCGCTTCCCGTAAGCTGGGAGGAGGAGGAGTTTGTGAGGCCGGGGGCGGGGCTTGGGTTTCCGCGGGAGGAGTTTGACGCGTCGTTGGTCGGGACGGCTTCGTATCCGGGCGCCTCTTCGATGTCGGAAAGGCGAGTGTTCGGCATCCAGTCTGAAGTGTCCCAATGGTAGGCTGCATAAGAGATGAGAATTAGATTGCAGATATTGTTTGATATTGTTTTTTTTTTTTGTTTTTTTTAGTTTAAAGGTCCTGTATTACAAAAATTTGACTCTTGTGAGCTTTTAGTCATCTTATAATGTTGTTACATCGTCAAAAACAACCCTAGATTTGTGTTTTGTTTCATTCACATGTTTGAGTGAGCCTTTATTATTAGTCTGTCTACATCTCCAAAGCTCAAAATGCTCTGTTCCACCTTGTGATGTCATGAAGCAGTACTTTTCAAGTATTCCAGTTTTATTTACATTTACTTTCTGGCTCAGATACCTTTTACCTTCAGTTCCATACAGCAGGGGTCCTCAACCTGCGGGCCCAGGGACGGGTACCAGGCTGTAAGTCGCTTGGTACCGGGCCGCAGCTAACTGGACCGGTCTAAACCAGGTCTAAACCAGGTCTAAACCAAGTCTAAACCAGGTCTAAACCAGGACTAAACCAGGTCTAAACCAAGTCTAAACCAGGTCTAAACCAGGTCTAAACCAGGACTATACCAGGTCTAAACCAGGTCTAAACCAGGACTAAACCAGGTCTAAACCAAGTCTAAACCAGGTCTAAACCAGGTCTAAACCAGGACTATACCAGGTCTAAACCAGGACTAAACCATTTCTAAACCAAGTCTAAACCAGGTCTAAACCAGGTCTAAACCAAGTCTAAACCAGGACTAAACTTTGTCTCAACCAGTTCTAAACCAGGTCTAAACCAAGTCTAAACCAGGAATAAACCAGGACTAAACCAGTTCTAAACCAGGTCTAAACCAAGTCTAACCCAGGTCTAACCCAGGTCTAAACCAGGTCTAAACCAAGTCTAAACCAAGTCTAAACCAGGACTAATCCAGGTCTAATCCAGGTCTAAACCAAGTCTAAACCAGGACTAATCCAGGTCTAACCCAGGTCTAATCCAGGTCTAAACCAAGTCTAAACCAAGTCTAAACCAAGTCTAAACCAGGTCTAAACCAGGTCTAAACCAGGAATAAACCAGATCTAAACCAGGTCTAAACCAAGTCTAAACCAGGACTAAACCAAGTCTCAACCAGTTCTAAAACAGGACTAAACCAGGTCTAAAACAAGTCTAAAACCAGGTCTAAAACCAGGTCTAAAACAGGTTTAAAACCAGGACTAAACCAGGACCCAGGACTAAAACAGGATTTACCCAGAACTTAACCATGCTGTGCAGAGCGCCCCACCCCCATCCCCCGGTCTGCAAAATATTATTGTATATAAAACCGGAAATCCAATCCATGGTGCAAAAAAGGTTGGGAACCACTGCTGTGCAGGTTAGCAATACCTGGGCTGAAACCAAATGAGTCTATGTATATACATAGAAACTGTATTGTAATTCAAATCTAAAAACGAAATCCAAAACCTGGTTAATGTGTATAAAGTTTCAAACAAACAAACAAAATGGAGTACTTCGTGTAACACCACATGACACTGTAAGGTGGAACAGAATGTATTTCATTTGAGTGAAGAGCACAGCCTAAATATGAACCAAAACACAACTCCAGGTCGGTTTGTGATGAAGAACCAACATTACAACATAGAAAATCAAAAAATGTGTAGTATAGGCCCTTTAATGTAACTGAGAATACAACATCAACATCAGTATATTTGGTTGGGCATGCACGTGACATTAGACATTTGAACGGGTTAAAATACAAAGAATTAAACAGCGATTTTCAAGCTGGGTTTCATATTTGAAGCCGATCACAAGAGCATAACCTGTAGTGAGAGGGTTAGAGTGGACACATGCAGCAGGAGCCTGTGGAGGAGGGAGCATGCTCACGTTTTCACATCAAGTTTAGTATCCGTACACAATATTTAACTGTTAAACAAAGTCATTCATTATCGACACAATACAGAAGACATTTTTCACATTTAAGCCTGAACTTGACAGTCCTTCATGTGACGTGAGACGGTTTTCCCAAAGACACTCACTTCAGTTTCTGGGTGAGTGGGAGTGATGCATCTGACCTTTAAAATTTATTGGTTTTTTTTGTTATTTGTAACATTTTCAAGAGCTTTTTTGGCAGCCAACTTCTTCTAAGTGCTGTCGCTGTTATTTCAATTTCATAACATCATAGAAGTTTGGTATTTATTCTAATTGATTTATGAAATGTTTTTGGGTTCACCTTTACACCATGAGCGTTTCTGCTAAAAGGTGAACTCACTGAAATTGAGACCCACTGTGTAACTTTTCTAATGTGGCTGTGCGATTAGTCAAATTCATCAGGTTTTTTAACAATCGAGATTTTCAAAACTGGCAGAATTGTCAATGCTGATCAGAAATAATGATTGTATGACATGTTCAATCATTGAGAAAGCTCCAGTTCGCATCACGTCTATTGATTAAGTGAATTCGATCAATTTATTTTAATCACAGGCTGGACTAATGTAGCAAACATGAAGGACTGTTCGCTTCACTGGACTTGAAAAAACTCAGCAGGGTTTCCCGTAGATTCTGGGGAGATCATTTCATTGTATTTTATTTATAATTTGTGGTGTATAAATGGAGTTTGTTTCCTATTTTAATCTTGAGAAATCCTTTTAGACCAGAATAGCCACTTTTAAATGTCTATGATAAGACAATACATGCATCCCAAATTTCAGACTTCCCGTCATCGCACAATGCATACTGGGAAGGATCCCCTGAAAAAGTGAGCATCAAATCGTCATGTTTGTTTTCCCAGTGGGATGTGTCTATTGACAAAGCTGATCTTTTTAAGTCTTTGTTTCTGGTTCTGATATTGTCATATTTTCGTTTTGGGATTTGGACTTCGTTATTGTGTGGTTGTTGGATCCTAACAGCGGAAAACAGATCGAGAGATGAGCTTTGGAAGTTTGCGAACTCCATAACTGCAAAATGGTATCAGATTTGTATGCCTGCCAACCTCCGTTCAAACTGTTTCCCTTCCCAACGGAACTGAAAAATAGTGAAAGGTGAAGGCGATGGGCAGGATTGATACGAACAAGGAAACCATTGACTGCCTAAGAAATCATCACGAGTTTACGGCAAACATTTAGTATGTAGAGCGCCATCAAAGCGGGATCCCGTTTGTTAAGCGAGAGGTGCAGAAGACAAACAGGCTGAGCTCGCACTTTCTTGTTCTTGTAGTTTTACAGGAACATCACGTCTTGGTCGCTTTGCAGTGGAAGGTGTTTCTTGAAGAACAGTTGATGCCTTTCACTTTGGCGTTGGCTTTTTAAATTCGTAACCAAGGTTGAGGCGCTCCACATACAAAATGTTCTCAGGATGATTTAAGCAGTCAAAGGTTTCCTTTTTGGTTCTTCCTGTGGATCAATCCTGCCCATCACCTTCATCTTTCACTATTTTTCAATTCCGTTGGGAAGAGAAACAGTTTGAAGAGATGTTTCACATAGATTCACACAGATCTGATTCCCTTTTGTATTTATGGAGTTCACCAACTTCCGAAGCCCATTTCTCGAGTCGTTTTCCGCTCTCAGGACATCAACAACCACACAATTATGATGTCCAAATCCCATAACTAAAATATGACAATCTCAGAACCAGAAACAAAAGCGATATGGTTCAAAAGACTTGAAAAGGTCGGCTTTGACAATAAATGCATCCCACTGGGAAAACAAACATGGCAGTTTGATGCTCACTTTTTCGGAGGGCCCTTCCCCGTGTGAACTGCACAATGACCAGAAGTCCGAAATTGGGGATGCATGTATAGAAAAGAAAGTGTCATTTTGTGAAGCCAGTTCTTTAGTCCAGGTTGTTTTTAGATCATGAGGGGCTATCATATTCTCCTGTATTCATGGGAAACACTGCTCAGACCTTTACACATCACTTTAACATCACAAAAAGAAGCAACATGTGAGCAAAATAAAGGAAAAAACAAGCAAAACAAGCCAAACTCAAACATGTCCATGCACTGAAGCAAAATGGTGCCATCCAAAATGCAGAGGGTGGGACTGGACATGGGACTGGACGTAGGACAGGCAGGACGGGCTGTGGGGCTGTGGGACGTCTCTGGACACACAAACAGAACAGAGGAGAAGGACAGAGAGACACAGGGGGACAGAGAGAGACAGACAAGGAGAAAAGAGAGAGAGAGAGAGAGAGAGGAGAGGAGAGGTGGACAAAAGTGAACTGTCCATTCAAGCTGAGATTCAGACCTGGGAGAGGAGGCTGTGGAGGGTTTATTTTTGTCTCATTTTTTGTTCTTGTTTTGTATAATGTGAAAATCAAGAATTAAACTACTACTTAAGTTACTACTACTACTACTACTACTACTACTACTATTACTACTATTAAACTGTTTCCCTTCCCAACGGAATTGGGTACTACTACTACTACTACTACTACAACTACTTCTACTGCTGCTGCTGCTGCTGCTGCTGCTGCTGCTGCTGCTGCTGCTACTACTACTACTACTACTAGTCTTCTACTATACAACTCTTTATCACCACTACTACTACTACTACAACTGCTACTGCTTTTACTATTGCTACTGCTACTACTGCTACTGCTGTTGCTGCTACTTCTACTTGTGCTGCTGCTACTACTACTACTACTGCTACTTCTACTATTACACAACTCTTTATCACTACTACTGCTACTACTGCTACTACTACTACTACTGCAACTACAACTGCTACTACTACTACTACTACTATTACTACAACTACTGCCTAATACTGCTACTACTACTACTGTTACTTTGCTGATGTAAATTGTATCTTTTCTTTTTGGAGTATTTCTTCATTATTAGATGCTGTTATTATTATGTTTTATCGTTATAGTAACAGAAAGACCTAAAATATATGATTCAAAAATTTTTTAATATCCTGATGTAAAAAGGCTCAAATAGACAACTGACAAAATGTAAGGATCCTAAAATATATTGAATGTATATATATATAGTTGAGAAGTATTTTTAAAGAATATATCATTATGTAATAAAGAACAATTAGATCTTATGTATTTGAATAATATTTCCCATGTATGACCTGATTCTTTTAAAGGTGCAGTGTGTAACTTTTCTGGTGGAGGATCCATCAAATACTTTATTGCTTTGTCTGGAATTTTTCATAGTATGGCATTAAACTTTTCTATCTTCATGGAGATAGAATGGACCCCATCAAAAAGTTACACAGTGCAACTTTCAGATTCATAAGTAAAATCCAAAATATATATGAACAGATATTTATACCTAACAATCTACTGTAATAATAATAATGTTTTATCTGATTGACTTTGCATGTAAGCCCGGCCTAAACCATAGCCCCTGGTGCTTTTAATATAGATGGTGATTTGTTTAATATGCTGCAGGCAGGGCTCCTCTGTGTTTCTAATGAAAACATTTATCACGGCATGAGCCTTAATATCTGTGTTCAGACATGGAAATCATTGCCCCGAGACATGTCCCCTCTAATGAGTGAACCAAATGAATTCGACACAGTGACTATTGGATTTCACGACTACAATAAATCAGCCCAAAGTGATCAAGATGCATTAGACAGTAAAAGCTGTACAGGCCATTTTTAAAACGAAGAATTCTGATGAAAGCGGTCGCAGGTGTAACGGGAATAACTCAAGTTTGTCTCTATCTACATCAGGAGGAGCTAGGATCAAACCAGGACCAAACCCGGACTCTAGTGTCCTGTTACTGAAAACTACCAGTTAAAAGTTTGGACACTATCTCAATGGTTTTTTTTTTCTCCTTATTTTTACTGCTACTACTACCACTAACACTACCAGTACTACCACTACTACCACTAATACTACCAGTACTACCACTACTACCACTACTACCACTAATACTACTAGTACTACCACTACTACCACTAATACTACCAGTACTACCACTACTACCACTAACACTACCAGTACTACCACTACTACCACTACTACCACTAATACTACTAGTACTACCACTACTACCACTACTACTACCACTACTACTACCACTACCAGTACTACCACTACTACCACTAACACTACCAGTACTACCACTACTACCACTACTACCACTACTACTACCACTACCAGTACTACCACTACTACCACTAACACTACCGGTACCACTACTACCACTACTACTACTACTACCGCTACTACTACTACTACTACTACTACTACCACTACTACTACCACTACCAGTACTACTACCACTACCACTAGTACTACCACTACCACTACTACCACTACTACTACCACTACCACTACCACTGCTACTACCACTACTTCCACTACCACTACTACTACTACCACTTCTACTACCACTACCACTGCTACTACCACTACTACTACCACTACTACTAGTATTACCACTACTACTGCTACTCCTATTACTACTACAATTATTACTATTACTATTACTACTAATATTACTACTATTACTACTACAACAACTATTATTACTACTTTTACTACTACTTTTACTATTACTTACAGCTATTATTACTATTACTATGACAACTACTACTCTTACTAAGATTACTACTACCATCACTATTACTACTACTAGTACTACTACCATTACCATTACTATACTACTACTACTACTACTATTACTACTATTACAACTTCTACTGTTACTAATATTACTACTACAACTATTACTACTATTGCTACTACTACATTACTATTATTATCACTACTACTACTTTTACTACTACTACTACCACTATTACTACTATTACTATTATTACTACTTCTACTATGACTACTATTACTACTACTGCTACTACAACTACTGCAGTGCAAATTGTATCTTTTCATTTTGGACCTAAAATAAATATTCAAAATTTGTTTAATATCCTGATGTAAAATAATGGCCCAAATGGACAAAATGTAATTGAAATATTGAAAGTATATTTAGTTTTTATATAGTATTTTTAAAGAATATGCAATTATGTAATAAAAAACAATTTGATCATAGGTATTTGAAAAATATTTCCCATTTTTGACCTGATCGTATTAAAGATGCACTGTGTAACTTTTCTAGTGGAGGGTCCATCCTGTCTGAGATTATGCCGCTTTTCCTTGAATGTTCCACAGTATGGCATTAAATACATCTATGCAATTTGCATTTACTCAATTACAGACGTTATTATTACTCAAAAGTACCACAGAAAACATGCCGCCTTTCCACAGATCTAACCTACATGCAACTTGGCCTGGCAGTGTTACTTGCTTGTTTCCATGGAAATAGAAATACTTAATGGCATACTGTGGAACATGACAGAAAAAGCAAAAGTTAAATAGTGTACCTTAGAAGTTTTTCAATTTTTGTCTTTGCCATAATAATAATTCCATATATCTTACTTCATAGATTTGATATTTGATAAAGAAAAAACATTGAATGAGTGTGTGCGTCCAAACTTAACGTATTTCACATTTACAACCAGTTTAATCAGATTTGTCGAAGAAAATACTTTTGATCCTTTGGTGAACAGCATCTAATATAGGAAGCTCACTCCTCACTATTGAATTTCATTAATTTCGAGACACGTCGTGGTCCTACAAAAAGCTGTATTTGAATATTTCTGTTTGTATAATGGATGCAAATCAAAACAAAACTTGAACTATGAAAAGCTGTAATTATTTTCAGAGAACAGAACACTCAGTCTCCACGTGATTCTCGGGTTTAGGCGTTTATATTTTATCTTAGTCTTCACTCAAATGTTAATGGATCAGATGTTTAAAATGCAAAACGAAAACACTGATTTTAAAGGTACGCTGTGTAACATTTCCGTCACGTGCTCGTCTCCATGGAGATGTTATCGCTTTGTCGAGAATGTTCCACGAGAGATTAAACCACAGACTTCATTACAGGTCAGATTTGCGCGAGAATGATTGTATTTTTGAGCAATAAAAAATTAATAAATGCTTAGATCGATGAGTTTAATGTCAGACCGTGGAACTAAGCAATAACATCTCCATGGAAAGAAATAATGACGGACCTTCCACCATAAAAAATAACGCAATGCACCTGTAAACATAAAGTTTTGTAAGGAAAATGTGTATTAATTTTGATTCAAATAAGTAACCCAGGTCTGATCAGAGACTTTGAAGGCGTCCATTTTGTTATCACCAGAAAAACAGATGAAGGAAGAGACAGGGATGGACAGAATAGAAGAAGAAGTGAATGGGGTTGGTTGTGGGTTGGGTTGGGGTTTGGGGTTTGGGGTTGGGGTTGTTGCAGTCACCTCTGTTGTAGGTTTGACCCTGATCCATGACGGACACTGCTCCAATGAAGAAACAATAGAAAAACACGTTACTAACGGCTTAAGAGCACCTACGCTATCTGCTATCTTCAGGCTAAAGAAAGTAAAGAAACAGAAAGAAAAAAAGGCTGAAAAGAAAAAATGTACCGTGAAAGGTAAAGATAAGGAAGAAACAGATGTAAACGTGGTTTTGGGAAGAAGAAGGTGAAGGTTCATGCTGAAAGTGGGCTGCTTCCTACTGGGTCCATGGAGAAGATGTAAGTGATCATCTCAAACGAACTGACCCTAACCCTGTCATGGACTTTTTAACTGATTCACTAAAAACTGCAGTACATTTTTACACTATACTTCTACTATATAAGACTCAAATTAGGTATAACCATAAACTAGAACAAAAAATGTTTCAGAATACAGTTTTAGGATTGTCTTGACCAGAGTAATATTAAAGATTGTGGATGGACGGGGTGGGATTGATACGATCATAAACGGTAAACTTTCATGCCTTCTTTATCATTATTATTAGTTTGTGCGACCATAGTAATTGTAATTTATTTTGCTGTATGTAAATATTTGTAAAGTTCTGTGATCAGTAAACAAAAGAAACGGCATCATTTTTTAAACTATGTCATGTTCAGGAGTGGGTTAATATAAGTTTTTCTTCTTCCCACTCCTTTTTGAGAACTGTGCTTTTCTGTTGATTACAGTGTATGTACCATATTTTTCGGAATATAAGGCACGATATCAGTAATGTTGAATTCTCTTGTCTATTTTCATACTTAAGGTGCACCAGATAAGACGCATTAAGAGAAACAAACGGACGAAAGTTGCAACTGATCCCTTACCCCAGACGTCCACGATCCATTGGCGTCTTGGTGAATGTGGATTATGGATGTGAATGTGGGTGGATCATTTAAGTTTTTTTTTTTTTTTTTTTATTTCCTATGAGGAACGACTCAAATATACATTGAGTAATAATGTGTTTAATGCAGCTTTGCACACATTTGTTTACGTTTTACAGAAACAAAACTTAAAATCACATGGCTAATTTGCATAAACTACAAACGCTGAAAAAACTGCTCATTCCTTGTGCGCTAATGCGGTTCAGCTTGTCGGGCTAACTATGGTACAGATTTCTGAGCGACGTGTACCAAATAAAATTGGTTCGAGGTTAGTAAGCACAATCAGAATTAATACATAAGGTGCACTGTCGATTTTTGAGAAAATGAAAGAATTTTAAGTGCGCCTTATAGTCTGAAAAACATGGGAGTATGTGTATGATTATTCTTTCTCTTTTGGCACAAACTCAAAAATCATTAAATATGAATGAATCAGTCAATCAAGGTCCTACATTACACAAAATTGACTCTTGTAAGCTTTAAGTCATGATATAATGTTGTTACCTCCTCAAAAACAAACCTGGAGTTGTGTTTTGTTACATTCACATGTTTAAGTAACCCTTTATTATTAGTCTGTCTACATTTCCAAAGCTCAAAATGCTCTGTTCCACCTTGTGATGTCACTTACTAACTGTAGTATTGAAGATAGCAGCTACCTTTTATTTTTGTTTTATCCAAATCCAGATTATTCAAATGATATTAGTGAAGATTCATGAAGTTTAAACACACACTAGAGCCTTTCCTTTATTACCACGTGACATCACAAGGTGGAACAGAGTGTTTCCAGTTTGAGAGAAGCATAAATATGCAGGGTTTGTGTGTTAAAATTGTGTGAATGAAACAAAACACAACTCCAGGTCTGTTTGTGAAGAGGAAATAACATTTGAACATAGATCAGAAAATAGTGTAATATGGGACCTTTAAAGAAAAACTATTAATATTTTGGGTTAAAATTTGCAAATAAACTTCTGAAATAAGTTGTAAAATGGGGCTGGTAATATGCTTAATTCCATTCTGTCTTTAAACTCTTCCTGTAAAACTCCAGTATTTCCCTGACTCATGTGCAAAGCTTCAGAGTTTTTTTTATTTTTTATGGGAGTCTTTTACTGCAGCGGGGCCTGGCTTCCTGTCCATCTGAGGATCGCTGCACGTGCCACAGGAGCATGATGGGTAAAAATAGCTCAGCGGAGGTATTTTTAGCCCGAGTGAGAGAGGGAGAGACTGCCGCAGAATAACAAGCTTTGTCTGAACTCCAGCAAACGTGACATACAGACGAAATTTCCGAAAAGTCTGAAGTCATCTGAGGATTGGAGAAACGAAGAGAGATGGAGAAAGTGCAGCAGGGTTCCCACAGTTTCAGTGACGGGATAATGACTTTTACAATCAGACTAATTTAAGCCTGGATTAGTACCAGAGGAGCTGAATGACAAAGTATAATGAACTTTAAGGACAGGACATAGTACAATTGTTATACTTTAAAGGGCCTTTTACACTGTTATATTGTTGTTTCCTCATTGAAAATTTACCTGGAGTTGTGTTTGATTTCATTCACACATATTTAACGCACAAACTCTGCAGATTTAGGCTGAGTTCTTCTCTCAAACAGAAAATATTCACTGTTCTACCTTGTGATGTCACGTGGTAATCCAGAAAGTAACTCGATACACCTTTTCTATAGAATCATTTGGATCATTTCAGACCTGAATTTGACCATCTTTACTGAACAAAACTACCGCTTTATGACAGCACAAGGTGGAGCAGAGCATTGTGAGCTTTGGAAATGTAGACAGACTAATAATAAAGGATGACTCAAACATGTGAATGAAACAAAACACAACTCCAGGTCTGTTTTTGAGGGCCTCATTTCCTAGTGAGCCAGAGTGTTGGAGACGTATGGAGACACTTTTCGTAAATATTCCATCCAGTCCTTGTATTTGCAGAGGTCGCTGGTGCTAGGCTAGTGCATGTCAATGGCCATAGTTAGCCCGCCACTAAAAACAGTCTTACCCACTCCACAAAACACCCGAAGAAAATCTATTATTACACCAGACTGTCCATGTACATGTCTGTGTCAACAGAATAATGTCTGAAATAAAATGAACCTTGCATCGCATGAATCGTGACGGACTATTTTCTCAGCAGCAGTGGAATTTTACTTTGCTGTTAAGATATCAGTTCTAGGTGATATCAGTCTGCCACTGCCAAGCTTTCTGTCAGGAAGTACAACTCAAACATAAATCCTTCAAATGCAAGGTTGGTTTTACTTCTAAAATTATTCTATCGACACAGAAGTTTACATCGACAGCCTGGCGTAATAATTAGGGGTGTAACGATATCCAAGTCTCACGATACAATATCATCAGAGTCTGAACCTCACAGTACGATATTTATTGCGATATCGTGGGAAAGCTCATGATATGTTGGGGAGGCTCACGATTAGAGATGTAACAATATCCAAATCTCTCAGATGATATTTTCACGATATACAGTCCCTGACAAAAGTCTTGTCGCTTATCCATTTTGTAGAAACAAAAGCTTATAACTTGACTTTAAATTAATCAATTGGTTTTTAGAAATGTCTCATTTGAAAGCTAAAACCCTCCCAAATTATGCTCAATATACTAAAATAAATTTGCTTCACTGAAGAAAGATTGATCATTTAATGAACACAGAAAGGTCAGATTTTGGCAAGACAAAATTTTGTCACCTACAGAAAATTGAACAAATAATTTACTTCAAAATACAAAAATATGTTGCATAACATCAGTGAATGAAGTAGTGGTGCTGTGAGATCCATATTTAATATCTTGTCTGACTTCCATGAGCTTGAATGACTGCATCCATGCGGTTCCACAATGATTCATACAATTTGTTGATGAAGTCATCAGGAATAGCAAAGAAAGCGTCTTACATGCCTCCCAGAGTTCATCAAGATTCTTTGGTTTTGCCTTCCATGCTTCCTCTTTCATTCTACCCCAGACATGCTCAATGATGTTCATGTCTGGTGACTGGGCTGGTCAGTCCTGGAGCACCTTGATCTTCTTTGCCTTGAGAAACTTTGATGTAGAGATAGAAGTATGTGATGGAGCACCATCCTGCTGCAAAATTTGACCCCTTTTATGGTTGGGAATGTAAGAGGAGCTAATACTTCTTGATATTTTAGGTTATTGATATTTGCCTTCCACCCTGCAAATGTCTCGCACACCCCCATACTGGATGTAACCCCAGACCATGATTTTTCTACTACCACCAAACTTAACTTTTTCTGGGTGAATCTTGGATCCATGTGGCTCCAGTAGGTCTCCTGCAATATTTGCGGTGGCTGTGATGTAATTCAACCGAGGATTCATCTGAGAAATCCACCTTCTGCCACTTTTCCAGTGTCCATCCTTTTAGCAGGCTGTGGGCCTTGGCAAATGCCACACGTTTTTTTAATTGCCTTTTGTTTAGTGCTGGTTTCTGTGCACTGATTCGACCATGGAGGCCATTTCGAGACAGAATTCTACAAACTGTTGTGGTTGACACAGGGACTTGAGGTGACCAGGCCTGGTGGAGTCTGCTGCAGTGGAAAAGGGGCTGGCCTTGGATTTTCAAAATCAACAAACGGTCCTCCCGAGCAGTTGTCTTGCGGGGTCTGCTGGACCTGGGCTTGTCAAAAACATCTCCAGTCATTTCAGATCTTTTTCTTATTCTTTGTACTTGACACTGAGACACATTGAAGGTGTCACCACCTCAGCAGTGGATCTGGTCTTCAGCCTCTTGATAATTAACGCTTTGGTCTCAGGGTGGATCTTAGGCATGTTGTCAGAGGTCAAGTTGCAGTTGATGTGAAGGTCTGGTGTGCTGAGGTTCTTTTTATACACACCCACTAATTGATTGATCAGTAACTGATCACAGGTGAGGCTGTAATCTAGGATTGGGTGCATCATATGACAAGGCCACAAGACTTTTGTCTTGCCAAAATCTGACCTTTCTGTGTTCATTAAATGATCAATCTTTCTTCAGTGAAGCAAATTTATTTTAGTATATTGAGCATAATTTGGGAGGATTTTAGCTTTCATATGAGACATTTCTAAAACCAATCGATTAATTTAAAGTCAGGTTATAAGCTTTTGTTTCTACAAAATGGATAAGCGACAAGACTTTTGTCAGGGACTGTACATCTCACGGTACGATATTTTTGTAGAGGTTAACAAAACTGTGAATATGATACTTTTCCTTTTAAAATGCCTTGACAAGACTTAATCCAAGGAACTAAGACTTAAAAGTGCTTAGAACTGTTATTTCTTCTTGTAGTCTACACTGAAAGCAAAGGATCATGGTCTATGTAGTTTTTTTTTTTAGCTATTGCTGCACCTTAACTCTTAACTTAAGCAAAAAGACTTGTAATTCGATATATTGTGATGGTCCACGATGTTATTGTGAGAACTTTGACGATACGATATCACAATATTTCGGTTATCGTTACATTCCTAGTACTAACAGTTTTGCTTCGGGTGTTTTGTGGAGTGGGTAAGACTGTTTTTAGTGGCAGGATAACTATGACCATTGACATGCACTAGTCTAGCACCAGTGACCTCTGCAAACACAAGGACTGGATGGAATATTTTAAAAAGTGTCTCCACACGTCTCCAACACTCTGGATCACTAGGAAATGAGGTCCTATGTCCAAATTTCTGGACTGTCCCCCTAAAGCTGCACTACGTAACATTTTTAGTGGAGCGTCCCTCACCTGCTTGTCACCATGGAAATATTATTGCTTTGTCTAGAATGTTCCACAGTTTAGATTACGTTACATACCAGTTCAGATCTGTGTAGAGTCACTCTTATTCACAGAAGGAATTATTGTATTTTTGAGCAATAGAAACACTGTAATGAATAAATGTAAGATGGATATGTTTAATGTCATACCGTGGAACATTCTAGGCAAAGCAATAACATCTCCATGGAGACGAGCAGGTAGAGGACCCTCCTGAACCACAGGCACTAAACTCGGGGCCAAACTAAGTGTTATTAAAATATGAAAGTTGATCAAAATCTGGAAAATGAAATTAAAACAAAACAAAACTTGGTAATGTATGAGAATGTACCAAAACACTTGAAACTGTATGAGATGTGTTTTTAAAATGGGTGATATTGTAAACATTTCAGTATCAAGTATCCTGTGCATTCCAAATTCTAAGTACTAAAACAATACAATTCTGAATTCCTCTTTCTAAATTTTGCCCTTCAGACCTCATATTTTTAAGCTTTTTACATTTCAGTTTCAGCTTCTACATAAGACTTTCTATGTTGTCCTGACATTCTATGGTTTAGATAGATATTTTTTTTTGTGTAAGTCTTTGTGATCTAGGCAGTTTCTTTTTGTATTTTTCTGACTATCTTGAAAAATGACTCAAAAATGACTCAAGCTTTTACGCAAGAGACACATTATTAAAGAGCCCGTATTACTCTGTTTTCTTTTACACTGTGTTACAATGTTGTTTACCCATCAAAACAGACCTGGAGTTGTGTTTTGTTTCATTCACACATGTTTCACACAAATCCTGCAAATTTAGACCCCGTTTACACTGAAACGAATCTGCGTATCGTATCTGCGTCCGGACATGTTGTTTCTGTGTCCGCAATCAAAGCGTTCCCTGTCCACACGGAAACGCAAAACTGCCTAAAACGCTAGTCACGTGATAGGCTGGTGTCACGTCGTAACAATGTCCTGATGTCACGTGAGCGGTACAAACAAGGAAGTCTGAAGTTGCAGCAGCTGATTTTGAGCCGAGGGAGATGGCAAGTGAAAAAACAACGAGGTTCAGTTGTTACACTGGATTTTAAGATGAGCATGGCGGCTCTGACTCGTTTCTGTATCCGCAAGTCTTCCCTATCCACACAGTTTTGAGCATATTTGTTTACGTTTTACAGAAACAAAACTTAAAACCACATGACTCATTTGCATAAACTATAAGCGCTCAAAAAACAGTTTGCTATTGTGCGCTGATGTGGTTCAGCTTCTGTCGGACTAAAGGACACGACTCAGTGGATTATGAGTGTTCTTTCTGTGACAGAGGGGTGTTCTGCTGATGGTGAGTCTGTTCTGTTTTTCTGATGCGTTGGAGATGGTTCATGTTAAACTTTTCAGAGATTATACGGTCTATGCGTACAATCATATGCATAGACCGCTTATATGAATGGACATATATTCTAGCTTCTTAGCGTTTTGGCGGTGAATTACTTTGCGGCGCATAGAACTACATCAGCGTATCAGCGTTTTCAGGCGTCCACACGGTGCCGGATCAGATCCGTACTCAAATGAATTCGTGGGAGCTGGAGACACCAGATCGTTCCGTCTCTAGAGCTGTTTTCTATCGGATTAGTGTGAACGAACACTGCATCAGCAATGAAAACGATTCAAATACGTACTAGTGTGGACGGGGTCTTAGGCTCTTTGCTCAAACAAAAAACACTCTGTTCCACTATATGATGTCATGTGGTAATAAAGGAAGTGCTCCATTGTGTTTTTAAACTTAATACACATTCACTAGTTCAATTATTTGGATTATTTCAGCCCTCTCTACTGAACTAAAACTAAAATAGTAAATGTTAACTTAAAATCTACCACTTCATGACATCACAAGGAGGAACAGAGCATTCTGAGCTTTGGAGATGTAGACCGAACATGCGTGAATTAAACAAAACACAACTCGAGGTGTGTTTTTGAGGAGGTTACAACATTCTAACATGGCTTAAATCCATTTTGTGTAATACAGGACCTTTAAACTACCTGCAGTAAATAAATAGTTCAAGAAACTGCCCTTTCAAATAGTGAATACATTCAAAAATTCCACATTCTAAACTTTGCACTTAAACTTTTCCTTTCTATCTGTTTCATATTTCATCGCATTATCTCCTCTTTCTAAACTCCACTACACTGCATTTCCTGATTTGCGGTTGCCGTGCCGACCTGGTGGGAACCCTGTGCAGCGCTGGAGGAGGGAGGAGCAGGAGAGATGGGAGCAGGACACAGACATGGTACCTTCACTCTCGATTGAGTCCACTGCGTCATTGACCAATCGAATGACGGTCACTATGGAGGCTTGTGGGGGAGAGATACAGCAGCGTCAGAGAATCACAAACGAAAAAAATAGAAATAGAGAAAGAAAAATCCATAAAGGGACCCGACTTCTCGATCCTGTGTGGTGCGTGGGTGTGGTTTGAATAACACACAAAAAAAAAGTTTTAAAGCAAATTATAATAACGACAAGCAAAATGGAGGTTTCAAGGCTGTAGGCATTAGACAGACTCACAGTATTTGTGTTTTTTTGGGTCGATACATGTCATAGTTTATCTTTTTTTTTTTTTTTCCAATTCAAGATAAAAATTTGAAGAATCATTTTTTATTTTTCACTTATTTTTTTTACTGTTTTTCACCAAATATAAACAGTACAAGCACTTTTAACATTTCTGTAATTAATTATTTTAGTAGTTTTTGTCTTAAAGATGCACTATGTCACTTTTCTGTTTCTTGTCACCATGGAGATGCCTCAAATGTTACACAGTGTGACATTAATCTTCCATCTTTGAAAGCGTTGATTCAATTACATGTGTTTTTATGTGTTTGTCTGTTTTTAAGCGGACTCTTCTCTCCACAGATCTGGCTTGTCTCAGTGGAGATACATCAGTTTAGTAGCTTTAACCTTCCCCAGAAATGTTACACAGTGCATCTTTAAAGGGACCATATTTTCTGATCTGTGTTATAATATTGTTTCTTCATCACAGACAGACCTGGAGTTGTGTTTTGTTTCATTTACACATGTTTAACGCACGAAACCTGTACATTTAGGCTGAATACTGTTCCACCTTGTGATGTCATGAGGTAATACAGGAAGTGCTCCACTCTGTTTTTAAACTCCACACACTTTCACTAGAATCATTTGGATTATTTCAGATCTGGAATTGCCGATCTCTACTGAATTGAAGTTAAAATGTTGCTGTTAACTTGAAAACTACGCTTCATGACATCACAAGGTGGACCTGAGCATTTTGAGCTTGTGATATATACTAATTATAAACAATACTAATTATAAAGGGTTACTCAAACATGTGTGAATGAAACAAAATACACAAACACAATTCCAGGTCTGTTTTTGAGGAGGTAACAAGAGTCTATTGCGTCATATAAGATCTTTAATATTTGGTTTCATTTTATTTATTTATTTTTGTATAATCTTGTAGTTAAATCCACGATCTTTACCTGCATATAAAACTTCATTTGTCCATCTTAACTCATAACAAGGTGTTTTGGATGGTCTCATCAGTCTCCGTCTAGACACGCCGTCACAAACCAGTGAGCCGTGAGCCAGATTCAGGTCTGGATCATAATTATAACTCAACAAATTCGGGATGGAAATTTATGCCAAATCAAATTGCAAATTGGCAGCTTGTTCAAAGATAGATGATTTGATTCCTGACGCCTGATGGGAAGCAAGAAGCAAGCATTAATTGTTTTTTTTTGTTGTTTTTTTCTGCATGTGTTTTTGGTTAACTAAAACGGGTAACACTTTATAATAAGACATACCGAGAATCATTTGTGAATGTTTATTATCCATGAACTCATCATGATCTAAAAATGACAAGTATGAGCAGTTAAAGGTGCACTGTGTAACCTTTGGGGAACTTGGAGGGTCCGTCAAGTGCTTTTCTTCATGGAGATGTTATTGCTTTGTCTGGAATGTTTCACAGTATGGCATTAAACCTTTTTATCGTCATGGAGATCAAACCAGATAAAGTTACAGGTCAGATCTGTGGAGAGGCTCACTCACAGTCAGAATGTCTTTTCTAGGTATTTTTGAGCTGGTAGAGATGTTTAGCAATGACATATCCATAGAAACATCCCTCCACCAGAAAAGTTACACAATGCACCTTTAAATACATAACATTAAAACATAAAAAAAAGAACATTTTATAGATTAGTAATGACACTTTTTATCTGTTTGTAAATGATTATTAAACACTTTCATTTTTAGTTAATGGTATGACCAGATGTCCTGAAAAAATCAGCACATTCCCAAAATCTAAACTGTTGTTCCGAATCCTGAATCTGGCCCTAAATGTCCCAGAAATGACACTCAAGCAGAATACTGAGTAGTTATTTTCCGATAAACACTAAAACCTGTTGGTAGAGAGGCTAAGTGGACTGCATGCAGCCCTGACTGCTGTGACAGACTGCACACAGCCCCTCACGGCTTCTATTGCCGGCTACAATCTTTCTGTTTTGTTTATTTTATGATGTTCTACAATTAGGCACGAGTCTGCACCGAGGAGCAATGCACAGAACGGGTCTTTTCAATTCCGAAAGGTGCCTGGATCGATATGAGAAACAGATGCTCATTTAACCCGGTCCGCAGCGAAATCAAAGTTAAAATGAATTTGGCAATGACGTGCGCACAGTTCCATAAATAGATCCTGCGAATGAAAGGGGTGCTGGCAGCGGTGAAAAGCTCCACGACATATGGTGACGTGCCTCTTGGGTAGTCTATAGTATTACTTGAATTAAAAGTTGTTTCTATTAATTTATCTAATATATGCACTACAAACAATACGACATTTTTATTCCCTTTTTGTTTTATAGAGCAGGTAAGAGCGCACGAGTTGCAGCAGTCGTGAGGGCGAGGCAGAGGACAGTGAATGTGCAGCCAGCAGTGATTAATTGGTCGTGGGTCGGCATGTGTGCATTGTTATTTTTCCACGATGACATTTTGAGTTCATGATTTTTATGTTGTTTTCTTGTGGCAGAAATATTAATGAAAGACTTGATCTTTGAATAAATGTATGCAGTGTTGGGAAGGCGACTTTTAAAATGTATTCCCCTACAGATTACAGATTACATACCCCAAAATGTAGTTTGTAACGGAATCCATTAGATTACTTAAAGTGAGTAACGTAATCTGAATACTTTGGATTACCTGATATTGTCATGTTTTTTTAAAACTACATGAATGTACCAACCACATCCTGAAAATTCATGTTTGTTCTCTTCAAATTGGCCCTGGTTTAGTCCTGGTTTAGTCCTGGTTTAGTCCTGGTTTAGTCCTGGTTTAGTCCTGGTTTAGTCCTGGTTTAGTCCTGGTTTTAGTCCTGGTTTTAGTCCTGGTTTAGTCCTGGTTTAGTCTTGGTTTTAGTCTTGGTTTTAGTCTTGGTTTAGACCTCGTTTTAGTCCTGGTTTTAGTCCTGGTTTAGTCCTGGTTTAGACCTCGTTTTAGTCCTGGTTTAGTCCTGGTTTAGGCCTCGTTTAGGCCTCGTTTAGGCCTCGTTTTAGTCCTGGTTTAGACCTAGTTTTAGTCCTGCTTTAGACCTCGTTTTAGTCCCGGTTTAGTCCTGGTTTAGACCTCATTTTAGTCCTGGTTTAGTCCTGGTTTAGACCTCATTTTAGTCCTGGTTTAGTCCTGGTTTAGCCCAAAATGTGAAAACAAGAAAATACCGCCATATAATCCATTTATTTCAACAAAGTAACTGTAATCCAATTACCACTCACTGAAACAGTAACTGTAACTGAATGCAGTTACTCATAATTTGTACTCTGATTACGTAACTCCGGTTCATGTAATCTGTTACTCCCCAACACTGAATGTATGTTTGTGACAGGTATGTTCATAGACTGTCTTATTATAAAGTGTTACCCTAAAATAAATTTCTTGTAATGAAAATAATCTCGTACCTTTTATGTTCTGATTTCATTTTTGCACGTTTTTGGTTAGTTAAAAAGCATTTCTTATAATAAACCAGCTCTCATACTTCTTATGTTTCTTAAGCAGTTGTATCTGATGCGTACAGCCTTGTCACATCGAAAAACAACAGCCATTCATAAAACACAGCTGAAATAAAACATGACCGGTACGATCGCCAAAGCAGTGAATGTGAACACAGCGTCTCTCGTCCGAATCACTGTTTCATACACTTTCTCGTCTGATAACTGATGACTGGACATAATACAGTTACAATGAGTCTGCAGAGGCAAAGGGATGAGTCGGCAAATCAAATCAACATGAGACGATGACACAGACGGAGAAGGCACAAACCCACAACGGTAAAAACAGTCTCCTCGCACACAGAAGACAGTACCAGGGCTGAATGAACCAGGGGAGGTTGGTGAAGTTTAAAAATTGTAATAGAATTTATCAGGAACATTTTGACCAGGCCCGTCGACAGAAATTTTCGGGGCCCGGGGCAAGGAGGCTCACATGGGCCCCCCACTAATTGATTGGATGGATGTTAAATAGGTTTTCTTATCGTTGGTTGAATGAATTTTTTCTTTAAGTTTTAGGGTTTTTTTTTAGATATGAAGCGTTCAACAGCAAAAATCGATATCTCTGTTTTCAAAAATGTCCTTAAAGATTTTTTCTTTTATATTTTAATAACAGTAAAATTGATTTGGCTTTTGAAAATATGACTATAGAGTAAACTTATCTGTTTTTGCAAAGGAACTTTTCATATGTAGAAGGTGACTCTCACTTTTATAATGTCTATAATTAAAAAAAGAGCAGATTGGAAATTAAAATTAAATAGACTTGCAGTATAATCTTTAGAGAGATAAGGGTATAAAGTGATTTTCTGCACTTCTGATTTTAACTTTATAGTCCAGTCATTTTATGCCATACTTGAACCTGGACCAAGACATTTAAAGGTATATTTTTAATATGATTTTTTATAGTTTTTAACATAATACTAATCATTTGAAATTCTTTTGGGATAAATAAAGTATCTATCTATCCATTTATCTATATACTGTCTGGATACGGATTCGATTCAGGATATAAAAAAATAAAGTAGAATCTAATTTTGTTAATAATTGTTCAGTCCTACATGGAACAAGTCCTGTTTAAATAAAGTAATAATAATAATAATAATAATAATAAGTAAACATTTTAATTGCCATTATTTGTGGTTCCAATTAATAAACATGTTTGTCAATTTACACATCAGTCCAAACATGGAGTCACCTGAATGTTTTTTTTGTTTTTGTTTTTTGTTCCTTTGCCCAAAAGACCATCACATTTTAAAATCTATTTCACCAACCATTTCACACCAAAATACACCAAAAAGAAGCCACAGACTCATGACCAAAATGTGATGTCCAGCGATGGTTGTCGAAAGCACACATTAAAATATGACTTATTCGCATTACTGTATTGTTTTAAAATGTAACTGTGCCTTACCGTTGTCATCACAAGAGTCGGACTGGAACGAGCTGAGAGACTGCACCTCAGAGTTACTGCCTTTGTTACTGCCGGAGAAACACGTGACCTCTTCTGCCAAGTCCACCATTTTACCTGAAGGGGGCGACAGATAGAAAATCAGATATGTGGTTAAAAAAACACAAAACAAAAAAAAACACATAAATGTCACAGTTTATGGTTAATACTGCAGTTATTTCACATGTTTATACTTTTTGGTTGAGGGTCCATCGCCTGCTTGTTTCTATGGATAAGTCATTGCTCTGTCTAGAATGTTCCACAGTGTGACATTAAACAGCTCTACCTTACATTTATTCAATTACAGCTGGTTTTATAGCTCAAAAATACCTAGAAAAACAGGCATTCTGGTCTCCGTGAAGATAAAAAGGTTTAATGCCATACTGTGAAACATTCCAGACCGAACAATACAAGTGTTTGACAAACCCTCCACCAGAAAAGATGCACAATGCACCTTTACTTTAAATATTATTGTACTGGTTCAAACTGCAGAATATAATGTAATGGTGTCAGATTCCCAGATGGAGGCAAGAGCCAGTTTTCCTTATTGATTATACAGTATTCTCATAATATAAAGTACGATAAAAAACGTTGGACCTGAAATAACTAGACCTTAAAAGAACTTAAACTAAAAGGAACCTTAAAAAGATTTATTGTAGCTACCTCCAATTAAAACCGAATCGTAAATTTAATCATACAGGCAGATTCATTTGTCTCTAACACATATTCAGCCTGATTCATCAGCCGGTTTCACTTCGTGGAAAGCGTCTGACCTCGCAGCATCAGGATTTGTTCATTCGATGGTAGGCGGGTACTTTTAAAATTTAACCAGTTGCTGCTATTTGGTCGTGACGTATGTAATGCGCCGGTAACGGGGCTAACTGGTATATTAAACTTTTCTCTAATCCCCTACGAAGAAGGACAATAACGTCTTTCCCCTTGATAAAAATCACCAAACATTCTCTTTGTTCCGGCTTTAAATCCTCGATCTCGGGAATCGTTGCCAACACAGAATGTCTGTCTTCGTCTACATCCATCTCGACGCTTTGTTTACTGTTGTGCTGTTCCACAAAAGGGACCCAGACAGGTGCTTGATTTTAATGTAATGGCTTCACAGCTCTTCACTGATTGGCCGGTGTGCGGTCTACAACTTCTGGCGTTCTTGCAAACTGTCTAGTGTATTCTGATTCCTGATCTAGTCACTGGAGCGAAAAGGAGGCACTAGGTGGCGCCAGCCTGGCTAACACATACTTAAGCATGGTCGGAAAAGAGTTTTGCCCAAAGACAATGGCAGCATACAAAGGTATTTAGCAAGGAACCACCACCTTTATTGGTAGTGAGTTTACAACTCTTCCAACTTGGCTGCTTCCATCTGATATGACACAGAACTGGCCAGGGATATGATCATTTTAAAAGTGTCTTAAAGGGTTCATATTACGCTCTGATCTGTTCTAATGTTGTTTCCTCATCACAAACAGACCTGGAGTTGTGTTTTGTTTCATTCAAACATGTTTAATGCACAAACCCTGCAGATGTAGGATGAGTTCTTCTCTCAAAATGGTAAAAGAGGAAGTGCTCCAGTGCTGTGTTTTTAACTCCAGACACTTTCACGAGAATCATTGGGAGTATTTCAGCCCTGGAATTACCGATTTCTACTGAAGTAAAAGTAGAATATAGCTGTTAACTTGAAAACTATCACTACATGACATCACAAGGTGGACCAGAGCATTTTGAGCTTTGAAGATGTAGACAGACTAATAATAAAGAGTTATGCAAACATGTAAATGAAATAAAGCACATATCATGCTCACAAGAATCGTATAAGTTTCGTATAATATAGAGCCTTTAAGTCTTACCTTCGTCACTGTCCCAGGGGCTCTTGCGTAGGGAGTCACAGTCGGAGCGGCAGGGGGAGACTGGCGGCAGGTTTGGGGCCACGCTGCAGACCACCACGCCCCTCCTGGTGGTCCCCGTGAGGAACCGCGGGGACTCGGGGTGAAACGTGCTCATCTCCGTCTGCTCCACGGTCCGACCATCCACCATCTTCTCCAGAGTCGAGCGAGGATCATCTGAAGAACAAGGACTGAGTTAGGACTGAGTATTACGCTTTAAAACTCCTATATTACGCAAAACAGACTCTTGTGAGCTTTAAGCCATGTTAGAATGCTCTGTTCCACCTTGTGATGTCATGAAGTGGTAGTTTTGAAGTGAACAGCTTGTTTTACTCTTTGTTCAGCAGATAGTGGCAATTCTAGAGCTGAAAATGGTCCAAATGATTCTAGTGAAGCTGTATGGAGTTTAAAAACATGGAACACAGTGTTTTTTTATGTGTTAAAAATCTGTGAATGAAACAAAACACAACTCGAGGTATTTTTTTGATGAAAAAAACAAGATTATAACATAGATCAGAAAATAGTGTGATATTATGGGCCCTTTAAAGTGGCTGTACCCAACTTGTTTTGCCGTGGGACAGATATTACACACAGCTCTTATGAAAGAAATCAGGTTTGCTTCTAGTTTATAATGAGTTTTCATCCTCTGAGAATCAGGAAGTGAGCTGTAGCCTGCTAATCTGTCTAATCTAAGTTTTACCGTCGCTGCAAAATTTCAAGTTATATTAATTATAGTCCGTGCTGAGTTTTTAAGCACTTTTCTCAACTTATAGAGAACAGAGTGGAATATTGATGTAAAGCTAATACCAACTAGCATTCTAACACACATCTCCTGATTATCGGGCAATAAAACGTCAATAATAATGACAGTTAATTTGACCTCAAGAGCTGCTTAGACAATATATCTGTACTCAAATACATGGACAAAAATCCAGTACTGGGGCTTTAAGTATATTTAAAGTGTTATTTAAAGGTGTATTCTGTAACTTTTCTGGTGGAGGGCCCATCAAAGGCTTTCACAGTATGGTATTAAACCTTTCTATCTTCATGGAGACCAAATCAGACCAAGTTAGAGGTCAGATCTGTGGAAAGGCGACCCCGCTCACAGTCAGAATGTCTGTTTTTCTAACTATTTTTGAGCTATAAAACCACCTGTAATTAAATAAATGTTAGGTATAACTGTTTAATGTCACACTGTGGAACATTCCAGCCAAACATCCCAACCGAAAAGTTACATAGTGTACCTTTAATCTGCTTATATTTAACTTGAAAACAATGACAGATTTAATTTCATTTAATTTTAACTAAGTTTATATTAAATCTCACCTTGGACTTTGAACCTGGAGCAGGGTGTGTAGGCCATGGGGCGGACCGGGACTTGAGGGGGTCCGATCAGTCCCCCGACCCCGACCACGGTGGGCTCAGCGTACAGGTTCAAGGGGTCTCCCACGCCACAGTGCAGGGTCTTAAACTGGACACCATTGGCTGAAGATAAAAAGGGAAAGAAAGGTAAATAAATGAAGATACAAGGTTAAAAGAGTCAAGTTAGTTTTGTATATGAAACCATTTGTGTTTATTTGAGGTCCTGTATGACGCAATGGACTTTTGTGAGCTTTAAGCCATTAGAATGTTGTTCCCTCATCAAAAACATACCTGGAGTTGTGTTTTGTTTGTGATGAGGAAACAACATTATAACCTTTAAGTGTATTATTACTGGAATTAACATTTTTTTCCAATTTCAAAGAAGCATTTGTTCAACAATTTCCAGTCTGTTTTTAAATTTGAAACGCTGCCTTCTATCTTGTGATGTCAATTGTCTGGCTGTAGATGTGAAAGAAGGAATAGGAAATCATCAGGAGTCATTTATCAGATATTTCTAGCTCCATGCCGGGAATCCGAAATGAGCCAAAATCAAATCAAGATTGCACTTTGATTTTGTCATAATTTTAGAAAAGACTGTAATCTCTAAGAAAAATGGACACTTTGAAGACTGCAGTTTAGACGTCAGTAACACGTCAGTCGCTCTGAAATACACGGGGTTGTCTGTATAGATAAAAGTCTTATTAAAAATACATCGTCTAACTTTTCTGGTGGAGGGTTCGTCAAATGCTTTTCTCTGTGGAGATGTTATTGCTTTGTCTTGAATGTTTCACAGTATAGATTAAACCTATCTATCATCAGGGAGGCAAGCAGTTACAGCACTACACTACAAATATTACTACAACTAATACTGCATATACCTCTGCTTCTATTATTGCTACTACTACCTACTACTACTACTACTTCTTCTTCAGCTTCAGTTACTACTACTGTTACTCTTAATGGGCCTCATTCATGAAACATTCATTTGAACAGATTTGTATTTAAGGCCTTCTTAAGAACATTTTTGGCATTCACAAAACTTATAGTTATATAAGTTATATATTTTCCTAAATTATTTCCTATAAACATATGACTATGTGATCCAATAACATTTACTAGTTGTTTTATAGAATCTGTGTCTATTGGGTCTAACAACTTTTCTCCAGGCTGCAGTGAGCCTCAGTCTGTCCCAGCCCCAGTGCCTCCATATGGGACACTGTTACAGCCCTGCACCTGGTCACCGCGCTGGACTCGACACAGACATTACTCCCCTGACCCCCCATCACCCCCATCACCCTCCATGACCAGAGCACACTCTTATGAACCCCCAGCCCCCGTCCCTCGCTATTTACTGTGGGTCTGCAATTACAAAAAGTGCCATACATACGACAACAGCGGCCGCTTATTTCAATAAGTTTCTGACTTAAATCTTCCCTGTGAGTTTGGACATTTGAAATCACCTCTGAAGCTGTAAAACAGTCGTAGTCTGTAGACGCTCCACCTCACCTCCTCGTTCACTCTCTCCCTCGCTCTTTCATGCACCATAAAACTAAACCCATATTGGCCATATATGGATGTTCAGATGGCATTTCTAACCAAATATATATATGTGCTGGAAATAAAATGTAAATGAGCGTGGAGGTGTTTGTTGTTGGATGTTGGTGAATTCTTCACAACTGTCACTTAAGAAGCAATTCAGCTGCATAAGAACACTGTGAATCTGGGCCAGAGTTTAAGAAATGATTCATGAATGAGGCCCAATGTTGCTACTAAACCACTGCATACTGCTACTACTACTACTACTACTACTACTGCTACTGCTACTGCTACTGCTACTGCTACTACTGCTACTGCTACTACTACTACTACTACTACTACTACTACTACTACTACTACTACTACTACTACTACTACTACTGCTACTGCTACTACTGCTACTACTACTACTACTTCTACTACTGCTACTACTGCTACTACTGCTTACTACTGCTACTACTGCTACTACTGCTACTACTACTACTACTACTACTACTACTACTACTACTACTGCTACTACTACTACTACTACTACTACTACTGCTACTACTGCTACTACTGCTACTACTGCTACTACTACTACTACTACTACTGCTACTACTGCTACTACTGCTACTACTACTACTACTACTGCTACTACTGCTACTACTGCTACTACTGCTACTACTACTGCTACTACTGCTACTACTGCTACTACTGCTACTACTGCTACTACTGCTCTACTACTACTACTACTGCTACTACTACTACTGCTACTACTACTACTACTACTACTACTACTACTACTTCTGCTACTACTTACTACTACTGCTACTACTACTACTACTTCTACTACTACTCTGCTACTACTGCTACTACTACTGCTACTACTGCTACTACTGCTGCTACTACTTATTACTACTACTACTGCTGCTGCTGATACTACTACTACTACTACTACTACTACTACTACTACTACTACTACTACTACTACTACTAACTTCTACTACTACTTCTAGTACACTGTGCCACCTCTTCCACTAAAATATTCTAGACAAAGCAATAACATTTCCATGGAGACGAACAGGTGGCATCTGCTCCACTAGAAATGTTACGCAATGCAGCTTTAAATCACACCAGAAGTCGTGTAAACAGACGCACAGCCCACCCACACTCACCTTTATTAAGCAGAGCGGCCGTGGCGGGATCCTGCACTAGAGACAGATTATTCCTGGAGTAATTCTTCTGGAAAACCTTTTTACGGAAAGCGATGAAGAGGATGATGAGGGTGACGATGACGAAGAGGACCACAGCGATGCCGATCAGCTCCTCCTTCCCGACCATGGCGTGCCCGGCCTGCATGTCCGGCACCACCACGGGCCGAAGGGAGCACCTCTGCCCCACAAACCCGGCCGTGCAGTTGCAGTAGAAGGACCCGTGGGTGTTGACGCAGACGCCCCCGTTCTCGCACTCGCCCTCCGGGTTACTGCGGTCGCACTCGTTTACATCCTCCTGGCACCTACAGAAAGAGAAGAGCGACAAAATATTTATTCCTCTTATTCTAGTTTTTAGTTTAAAGGGTCCATGTTACGCTGTTTTCTGATCTGTTATAATGTTGTTTCCTCATCACAAACAGACCTGGAGTTGTGTTTGTTTCACTCACACACGTTTAACACACAAATCCTTCTTCTCTAAAACAGAAAACACTCTGCTCCACCTTGTGATGTCATTGGTAATACAGGAAGTACTCCACTGTGTTTTTAAACTCCATACACCTTCAATAGAATCATTTTTATCATAAGATAAGATAATCCTTTATTGTCTCCCATGGGAGAAATTTGTCTTGGGACAGGGGGTAACATGCTTTATCAAAAAACAGGACAACACAACACAAAGCAGCACATAAACAAACACCATAGAACAAAGTAAATATGAGACCAAGTCTGACCACGAGTGATGCACCAACACGACCTTTAAACTATTCTTAACAGGCAAGCGCTTGCATTTCTTGTATTCTATTAATTATTGCACATTCCCTAAGCCTATGTGCAGTTTTAATTATTGCACATTCCCTAAGCCTTTTATAATTATTTTTTAACTGCACTATCTGAGTTTAGCAGATTAACAGCTAGTGGCACAAAAGAATGTTTGAATCTGTTCAGTTTACAGTTTGGGATTCTATATCATCAGGAGCTTAACCACACGGGAGGAGCTCGGAGTAGAGCCGCTGCTCCGCCACGTCTAGAGGAGCAGCTGAGGTGGCTAGGGCCCTGAGGAAGACCCAGGACACGCTGAAGGGACTATATCTCTGGGTTGGGCTGGGAATGCCTCAGGGTCCCCCCCACGGAGGAGCTGGAGGAAGTGTCTGGGGTGAAGGAAGTCTGGGAGTCCCTGCTTAGACTGCTGCCCTCGTGACAAAGCCCCGGATAAGAGGAAGAAAATAGATGGATGGTATTTGTTTCATTTCATCTTTGGAATTGCCAAACTCTCCCGAACTAAAGGCAAAAGGAGCTGTTAACTTGAAAACTACCGCTTCATGACATCACGAGGTGGAACAGAGCATTTTAAGCTTTGGAGATGTAGACAGACTAATAATAAGTGTCCACCACCTGCTTGTTTCCATGGAGATTTTATCGCTTTGCTTGGAATGTTCCACAGCACAGACCCACATTTAGAGTTTCAGCCAAAGCCAGCCAACAATTTTGTACGCCAAACTGAGCCGCCATCTCATAAAGTTTGGTTGAGCTAGAATGATGTGCTTATAATAATTCTAATAAAAGGAAAAGAAGAACACTCCTCATAAATGTCACTGATGGGTGTAAAGTCCCATCCAGTGATCTTCTCTGCCGCTCTGAGCACACGCTGTAGAGCTTTCCTGTCCTGGGCTGAGCAGTGGCCGTACCACACTGTGATGGACTGGGTCAACACACTTTCCACTCCACATCGATAAAAAGACATGAGAGCAGTGAGGCCTAGTCCAGCAGCCTCGAGTCTCCTCAAAAAATACAGACGCTGGTGGGCCTTCTTAACAATGCTCGCTGCATTAGTGGACCAAGTTAGGCTGTGTGTATTGTATTTTGTCAAGTGTTATATTCTATTGTCTTTAATTTAAAAAAAAAAGAAAAAAAAAAAGTTTATTGGATCTAGAAATGATGGAGCCAGAAGTGCCCCCATGCTCACTTGCTTTTTGGAAAGTACCAGGTAGCAGGTCAATTATATCCATTATATACTGTGTCTAAAGTGTTGGGAAGGTGACTTTTAAAATGTATTCCCCTACAGATTACAGATTACACACCCCAAAATGTAGTCTGTAACATAATCCATTAAATTCCTTAAAGTGAGTAATGTAATCTGAATACTGATAAAAGACATTAAAAAGCCCAGACTTTACTTAACCGTATTAAAAATATTATTGATAGAAGAGGAGGAGACACGGTCCACGCAGCATGATTTAGTCCTGGTTTTAGTCCTGGTTTAGACCTGGTTTAGACATGGTTTTAGTCCTGGTTTTAGTCCTGGTTTAGACCTGGTTTAGACCTGGTTTTAGTCCTGGTTTTAGTCCTGGTTTAGTCCTGGTTTGGTCCTGGTTTAGACATGGTTTAGACCTGGTTTTAGACCTGTTTTAGTCCTGGGTTAGACCTGGTTTAGATCTAGTTTAGATCTGGTTTTAGACCTGGTTTAGATCTAGTTTAAATCTAGTTTAGATCTAGTTTAGACCTGGTTTAGACCTGGTTTTAGTCCTGGTTTAGTCCTGGTTTAGTCCTGGTTTAGACCTGGTTTAGACCTGGTTTTAGTCCTGGTTTAGTCCTGGTTTAGACCTGGTTTAGACCTGGTTTTAGTCCTGGTTTTAGTCCTGGTTTAGTCCTGGTTTGGTCCTGGTTTAGATCTAGTTTAGATCTGGTTTTAGACCTGGTTTAGATCTAGTTTAAATCTAGTTTAGATCTAGTTTAGACCTGGTTTAGACCTGGTTTTAGTCCTGGTTTAGTCCTGGTTTAGTCCTGGTTTAGACCTGGTTTAGACCTGGTTTAGACCTGGTTTTAGTCCTGGTTTAGTCCTGGTTTAGTCCTGGTTTAGACCTGGTTTAGACCTGGTTTAGTCTTGGTTTAAAACCTGGTTTAGATCTAGTTTAGATCTAGTTTAGACCTGATTTAGACCTGGTTTAATCTTGGTTTAAAACCTGGTTTAGATCTAGTTTAGACCTGGGGATACAGCCCGAAATGTGAAAACAGGAACATACCGCCATGTAATCCATTTATTTCAACAAAGTAACTGTAATCCAATTACCACTCACTGAAACAGTAACTGTAACTGAATACAGTTACTCATAATTTGTACTCTGATTACATAACTCCAGTAGATGTAATCAGTTACTCCTCAACACTGCGTATCTAAAACAGGATTATAACACTTTCTAAACAGACTAAAGACTTAAACTAAAAGCTGGAAGACTCCTGAGTTCCAGTTCCAACACAGACTGTCTGACATCTCTCTACAGCCGTCAAATGGGACCACACAATCTGACCCGCTCAGAGCAGACAGGTCATTCTTTGTGGTGGATGTCAATATTCAGGCCGTGTATTGAGAGTCCGCTGCTGTCGCCGTGTTCAGTGCATCAGAAGGAGCAGTCTTTTCTTTAGTGGAGCATTACGAGGCCGTGATAAGAGATCACTGTGATAAACCCGGAGCGCATTCAGCATCAGGCCTGGACCGGCGCCACCGAGACTTTAGACTTTATTTATTTATATTGGACTGCATATAGAAGAACTGTGTCTGAATACTGATGAGGGGAGAGAAAGAGAAAGAGAGGGAGCGAGAGGGAGAAGGAGGCTGAGAAGTGGTGAAGTGAAGCTCAACACTGCCCCTGTGTGGTCAGAAACTAGAACTGCAGGTGCAAAAAGTAATTCTTGAAACTGATATTTGCACTACTGCTTGACTTATAGAGGATGACAGTCATAAATAAGTACATCTACAGGCTATTTATTCTTAAAGCAACACTATGTAACTTTCTGGATGTGGCACATTACCTGCATTATTCCACGCATGAAACGGAAAATTAAAACCATACTTCGGAACATTCACCATGGACTGTTTCATGCTACACTGCGGAATATTAGTGTATAGCCAAAGAAACATTTCCATAGAAACAAGAGGGAGGAGGCCCTTCTTCAGGCCAAGTACGAGTAAAGTTTGGGGAGATGCAAGCCTGCTCACTATAAGAACACATGTTTTGTTGTGTTTTCAGTGTAATAGAAACAAACATGAGAACAGCATTCTTTTTATATGTCTATTTGGCTAAAAAGTGACATGGTGGGGCTTTAATTGCAACTTTTTTTAGAACTATTTCTTTTCAGAAGCTCTTTCAAACATCTTGATTTACTGAAACTTAAATATTATACCTGCAACCTACTATAAATTTCCAGTAAATTCTTCATGTGGTATGCTGTTTGGTTGAATATATTCACCAAAATATCTTTAAAGTTTCATTGTGTAACTTTTCTGGTGGAGGGTCTGTCAAATGCTTTTTTTCCATGGAGATGTTCTTGCATTGTCTGGAATAGGGATGGGTATTCGATGAAATTTTCTTAATCGATCGTCGGAAGAATTAACTATCGATTAATCATTAACGTTTTTATATTAAAATGATCATCATTATTATTACTATCTGCACTACTAATCTAAATAAATAAATAAATAAATTCAACTTTACGACATATAAACCGTAACCACTCTAGAGCCACATCAGCCCGTTTGACATTATTATGTGTTTAATTCAGTTTTGCGCAACTCTCACAGAAACCAAAACTTAAAACTGCATCGCTAATTTGCGTAAACTAAGTGAAGATAAAACTACCAGCTCTTGTGTCGCCGATGCAGTTCAATTTCTGTAGGATTAAAAGACATGACTCAGTGGAATACAGGTTAGTGTGACCATATTTGCGTTTGTCAAAACCAGGACACCGTACGGGGGGAGGGGGGCGGGGACTCGTCATCGACATTGCGCGACTCTCACCTGGCAAATATTTTTCCCACTGGACACCGAAACATATGTGCTGCTTTATACACTGTGCACATGGACTCACACTTGTCCTGAACACAACGGAAAGCGTGGAATTTCTTGTACAAGTCATCGTTAAATAAACATTTGTGCTTCGATACGTTGCAGACTGACCCACTGTTTGTGTCTCGTTCCTTCTGATGCAGAGACACATGTACACACCCTGTTTGGTCACGACTACACACAGCAACCTACATTTGGTTTGTCGATTAAAATGAACGTAATCGATGAAATTCTTAATGATCAATTATCGATTAATCGACTAATCATGCCCATCCCTAGTCTGGAATGTTTCACAGTATGATATTAAACCTTTCTATCTTCATAGAGACCAGACCAGACCAGGTTACAGGTCAGATCAGGTCAGAATGCCAGTTTTTCTAAGTATTTTTGAGCTGTAAAACCACCTGTAATTGAATAAATGTAAAGTAGAACTGTTTAATGTCATACTGCGGAACATTCCAGGCAGATCCAGAAAAATAATGGCCAAAACGTTACATAGCGCATCTTTAAAGAATATATGTTGTAATGTTTTGAACCCAAACTCACGTGAGGCCCTTGAAGCCCCTCCTGCAGCTGCAGAGGAACGCGCTGCCGATGGTTTTACACACTCCTCCGTTCTGACACGGGTTTGGCACACAGGCAGTGATCTCCAGCTCACAGCGCCCCCCGGTGTACTGAGGGCTGCAGGTGCACGAGAAACCTGGCACAAACAAAACGAAACAAGTTTACTGATCACACAAGTCACAAAACTTACAGGAATTATATAAAAAATAATACTTTGTGTTCTAAATGTGAGAAAAATATCCACAGACAAATAAACCATGAGCTTCATCAAACACTGCTGAGGACAAATTTGAATATATTAACATTTCAAATACTTTTTCAGGGATATTTTTACCTATATATAAGACTAATGGGTGAGTAAAAAGTAGAAGGGTAGAATTCACATTTACATAAAAAGTCTTGTCTTATTGTTTTATCTGAAAAAGCTTTTATAGTTAAATTTACTCTACTAATTACTTTAATAGCTTACAAATACACTTTACTTGGAAATATAAACCAGTTTCAAAATCAAAATGTTTCCGCTCAAATCTTATAAAGCGCAGATGTTGTGCAGTTCTGTGTCTGACCTCCAGAGGGCAGTGTGGTGCAGCTGCCTCCGTTGCGGCAGGGCTGGTTCCCGCAGGGGTCGGGGTACAGGATGCAGCCGAGCTTGAGTTCGGTCAGGCCCACCACCTCTGCGTACCGGGAGCGCTTGTTCTGCAGAGGGAGCTCGTTGTTGTTGAGCATCACCGAGTCCAGGCAGCCCTGAAAGCCCTCCAGCACCCGAGGGTCCTTCTGTGACACCACCAGGCCGCGGGACGACGGGTGCTGCACCTGTGGGTCAGAGGGTGATGTTAGAGCTTGTTGATTTCCTAGTACTATTGCTTCTTCTGTACTTACTATTACTTTTGATACTACATATACCAAAAACACAGATACAGTACTGTTTCCTTAATATACAACTACTAATCAACTAATACTCAAACTACATGGTTAACAGTTCTATTAATGCCAACTACTACTTCTAGTGTTATTAAGAATGTTACTACTTCTATTGTTACTACGACAACTACTACTTCTATTGGTGCTACAAGAACTATTACTTACTATCATTATGACAACTACTACTTCAATTATTATTACGACAACTACTACTTCTACCATTACTATTTCTATTGCTACTACAACAACTACTACTTCTATTGTTACTACGATGAGTACTACTTTTATTGTTACTTCGACAACTACTACTTCCATAGTTACTATGACTACTACTTCCATAGTTACTACGACAACTACTACTTCCATAGTTACTACGACAACTATTTCTATTGTTAATACAACAACTACTACTACTTTTGTTACCACGACGAGTACTACTTCTGTTTTTACTACAACAACTACTACTTCTATTGTTACTTCAACCACAACTACTTCCATAGTTATTACAACATCTACTATTTCTATTGTTAGTACAACAACTACTACTTCTATTGTTACTACTACAACTACTACTTCAATTGTTACTACAAAAACTACTACTTCTGTTGTTACTACGACAACTATTACTTCCATTGTTACTTCGAAAAACGACTTACTATCATTACTATGACAGCTACTACTTATTATCATTACTAGTACTAATTCTACTACTAGTTACTACTGTTACTCTTATTGTCACTACTAAACACAACATAATATTGCTACTTTATATACAAAAATACTAAAATTGAGTAGTAATTAGTACATTGTTCCATGTTTTCCAGTAAAATGAATACTACTGAAATCTACAACGTAAAGAAAAGGAAAAAGAGGAGCCTCACTCAAACATTCTTTCTCTTCTTTTTAAAAAATTTCCATCCTTACCCTCTTATTCTTCTTTTCTGTTGTATTACTTACCCACTCACACACACACACACACACACACACACACACACACACACACACGTACACACACATAAGAAGAACAAAAGCCATTCTTATTTTCTCACCATCCCTTTCAAACCTTGATTGACGCTCGCTACCCCGTCAAGTCAAAATGTCTAACGTCTTTTACAGTTTGTATTGTTTCTAATATCACAAAAAAAAGCCGAAAGAACCAAAGAACTAAAAATATAAAACTATTTAGCGCAAAACAAGAGCCTAAAGCAGGATTTAGCTAAAACTAGGATGAACAGATCTTGTGAATCTTTACCAGAGCTCCAAAGTAGATGGTCTTGTCTGGTCCGAGGGGGGCGTAGAGGGGCCCGCGCCGCTGCTCCACGTAACTGTCGTCTATGGACAAACTGCTGACGTTTCGGCTGAGCTCTAGCGCCACCGTGTGCCAGCTGCCGTCGTTGATGGGACGTCCCGAGATCCCCAACAGGTCCGGAGTGTCCCCCGATCCGGACGCGCAGGCCAACTGGAACCACAGCTTTCCCTCCTCCAGCTACAAACACACAGTCAGTGATACAGCAGTTACCATGGTGACACAATGAGACAAACATGTTTCAAAGATGTATTATGTAACTTTTTGTTTGGGGTCCGTCACCTGCTTGTTTTTATAGGTCTTTTGTCATTACTCTGCCTGGAATGTTCAATTACAGGTGGTTTTATAGCTCAAAAATACCTAGAAAAACAAGCACTCTGACTGTGAGCGGGGTCGCCTCTCCACAGATCTAACCTGTAGCTTGGTCTGGTTTAGTTCCAACATTCCATTTGACAGACCCTCCACCAGAAAAGTTACACAATGCACCTTTAATTTTGCCTGAAACTCAAGAAAATACACCAAATGGATTTAAAGAGCGCATTTTCAGGAGCCTGTTGTCCTTGAGTAACAGAGCTTCTGACTAGGGTTGTAACGATATCCAAGTCTCTCGATACGATATCGTCACGGTATGAACCTCACGGTACGATATTTATTGCGATATCATGGGAAAGCTCACGATATAATTGGGAGGCTCACGATATTAGGATATTATCCATAATAACAAGACTAACATTCTAACATGTGATGACCAGTCACTTGGTCCAACATTTATTGTCATGTTCTAGGGATGGAACGATATCCAAATCTCTTGGTACGATATTATCTCACACCAAACTTATCCATAGGTTCTACCCAACTAAAACTTTAATCAAAAATAGATTTAAGAAAAATATTGATTCTGAATGTAGCTTTTGTAAAGAATGTCCTGAAACTGTTGTGCATCTGTTCTGGAACTGTCAAACTGTAGTCATTTTTTGGCAGAAATTGTGTGACTATATTCATAATTACATTGATAAACACTTTATTTTGCATTGGAAGAATGTATTATTTGGCTTGTTTGATTCTCATTTACAAAAAAGTTCGATCTACCCAATTAATCTCTTATTATTGATGTCAAAGTATCATATCCACTCGTGTACATTTTCTGGTAAAAGGCCAACCTTTGTTGCTTTCTATAATAGTTTCAGACAATACACTCTTTCAATTTAATTTTCCGAGGAACAGAAGGCAATCGATACTGTAGAAATCTGTACAGCTTTGAATGTTTTCACTTGAACTCTGACCCCCCAGTGTGAAAGTATAGCGTTTCCCCCTTTTCTGTCCTCTTTTATTTCCCCCTCCTTTCTTTTTTATTACTTTACTATTTATTTTATTATTTGTAAATTTTGTACGATGCAGTTCTTGAATGTAAAACACAGTTCTTTGTACATTGCATTATGTACACACTGTTTATTTTTCAATAAAAAAAAAAAAAAAAAAAAAAGATATTATCTCACGGTATGATGGTTTTTGCAATATTTGGAAGAGGCTAATAATTAAAGATGCAACACTTTTTTGCTTTTAAAACACCTTGACAAGATTTTGATGTGAATTATTACCGTCATAGTCCCAAGAATTCAAGTAAAAAACATTTCTTTATGTTGTCTGTGCAAAAATGAATCATGGGATATGAAGTTCTCTGTTTATAAGCTGTAGCTACATTAAAACCATGGATTTAAGCAAAGAAACTTGTAATTCGATATATTGTGACAGCCCACGATATTATTGTGAGACTTGACGATACGATATCACAATATTTCGGTTATTGTTAAATCCCTACTTCTGACAGAGCAGTGCCTACAGTTAGCTTCACACTCCCAGAGAATGTGAATGATATCTGCTGTATTCAAGATTTCACCAGTGAATATAAATTGCAGCCTGTATTTTCCTGTTACGGATATCATTTTGAGGACGTTTTAGCATTTATAAATGAACATCAGTGTTGACTGTTTATTGCTTTGACAGGAGTCCTATTTTTACATCACTTGAAACCCACGGATACATTGAGGAAAAAATAACATTACTGGGTTCGGTTTACGCCAAATTGCCTTGGACGTAATAGGTTTATGTTTAATAATTATAATCCATCAATCCAATTTCCTCCTCTTTATCCAGGGCTGATTTGCAGAGGCAGCAGATGGCGTTCCCAGACCAGCCGAGAGGAACAGTCCCTCTACTGTGCTCTGGGTATTTATATATTGTATGAAGTTTTGGTATGGGGAAAAAGTATGGTGGAGTAACATGACTTAAGATGCTCACTAAAGTCATCTAAATATAAGGTCAACAATGAAGTACTCTATACAATCACTATAGGTCCTCTGTTACCATGTTAGAATGTCCTCAAAAACAGACCTGGAGTTGTCTTTTGTTTCATTCACACGTTTGATTAACTCTGCATTATTAGTCTGTCTACATCCCCAAAGCTCAAAATGCTCTGTTCCACCTTATGATCTCATGAAGAGGTAGTTTTCAAGTCTACCTTTTACTTTTTGTTCAGTAAAGATGTGATTTCCAGGGCTAAAATGATCCAATTGATTCTAGTGAGGGTCTATAGAGTTTAAAAACACAGTGAAGCACTTCCTGTATTACCACATGACATCACAAGGTGGAACAGAGTGCTTTTTGGTTAAGAGAAGAGCTTCTAAGTTTGAATCTGCAGGGTTTGTGTGTGAATGAAACAAAACACAACTCCAGGGCTGTTTGTGATGTGGAAACAACATTATACTATAAATCTTAAATAGTGTAATATGGGCCCTTTATGTAACAGGGGCAGCAGTACAGTACTACGTAGTAATAGTAGAAGTACCTTGAGCACGGTGCAGGGTTCAGTGTGAGTGTACATGATGATTCCTTTGTTCTGCAGAGTCCTGATCCTCAGACTCAGCTTCAGCTCCGTCTGCAGTCGATCGGTCACTTTGTATTTGATGTAACTGTTCCCAGAGAAACTCAGAGAGGACTGGCCTGTTGAATAAAATATAACAGAAATAAATACATACAAAAATACACTTTGCAATTCTAGTTTTCTATTTTTCACATTCAAAGCACTGTGTCTTGTGGCGCACCTGAACACTCTCCCAGTTTCCCCGGTGGACACTGACAGGCGTAGCGCCCTCTGGAGGCCTCTATGGAGATACACTGCATATCAGCGGGGCAGTTCTGCTCCTCACACTGTTCTGATAGAACGGCACAGCTGGCGTCTGAAACCACAGGGACACAGAGTTTGTCATTTACACAAAAAGAGCCTCTCTCTAGGCTGTGTTTTCCTTCCATCTCATGTGGAAGAGAAATACAGAACAGCATAAAACAAATTCTTCCAGCACCTCAGATTACTGTTCTGCACTTCACATTTTTATAATAAGTAAATTAACTATTAGAGGGGAAAAAATAAATGATCACGTTAACTATAAGAGAGTCCATTTGCATATTTTCCATACATTTGAATATCATCAGGTGAGATTGAATTAGGATGTGGTAGGACATTGTGGTAAATAACCAGGGAACAGGACAATTGTGTTATAGATGTGCAAATGAATATGTACGACAGAGCGGACTGTCAATACTATTAGCCAGCGGGGGTCAAAGGTTCATTTGTATATTCAATTTGACGACCTCGTTAATGAACTGAACGTGAACATTTCAAAATGACTGATTCTTACCGGTGCAAGTGCAGCGGGAGGTGCGGTGAAACCTGGGTGATACAAAGCTCACCCGCGGGGTGCTGTAGGTTGCCAGATTGTGGGAGTCCAGGGTGATACTCTGCTCACACTGTGCCCCTCGACAGTCCAGACCCGAGCAGTTCTTATCCAAGATGGCCGACACCCTGAGCACCTCCTCCAGCCTCCTCCGGGATGCGCTCAGCTTCTGGGTGAGGAAGGCGGCTTTATAGAAGCCCCCCGCACCGGTCTCCACGGCCAACAGCATGTCCAGCTGAGAGGTGCCCCCCACAGGCTGCAGACTGAGCACGTGCACGATGTCCCGAGGCTGAGAGGCCGCTGCTTTCTGCAACACCTGGAACACAGCAGAGGTTAATAGAGAATAAAATTGTGTTTTTAGTAGAGAATATAAGGCTTTTTCTATTTCAATTGAGAATTTAGATCATTATTATTTATTGTGAGTTATACAGACTACAGAGATACTTTACTTTGCATTGCATTGCATGACTAAAAACTATTTTACTTACACATTTCTTGAGTGAAGTTACTGAAAACATCTAATTCTAAATCATCTTCTTATTAGTTACTGGTACTGGTTTTTTGTTTTTTTTTACATTGTGCACATTATCGACAAGAAAAACTAAATCTTAAATCTACAGCCAGGACTCTGCTGGTGTAGGTTAGAAGCTGTGCTGTGATGTTTGTAATGTTCTCTGGGGTTTCTGGTACTCTGGATAGAGATCATTTAATAATATCTTTAATACTTGTTTGCCTCCTCACCTTTAAGACACTCTTGAGATACGATGCCACAAACTCTCTGGGCTGCACGCTCTCAAACCTCACGGTGACGGCCTCTCGCAGCATGTCGGGGGTGGCCTGCTCCACGTGCACGCTCACGGCCACGGGCACGGCAAAGCGCCCGTCGCTGACACTGGCGTTCAGCGCGTACCGTCCGGCGTCCAACCCTCCCAAAGCGATGATCTTTCCGTCTCTGGGGCTGATCTTGAACAGGCTGCGCTGGGCTGGGGGGGCGTGGCCAAAAGTCAAAGCGTCGTACGGGTCGGCGTCGGTGGCGTGCAGTTGACCTATGACCCCTCCTGGAAACTCGTCCTCCATAGTGATGATGTGCACCTCCAGAGGCAGAGCTACGGGGCGGTGCAGGCTCTCCTCGATCACCCGCACGGTGAGGGGGGAGGTGGAGGAGAGGCGGGGCTTTCCAGAGTCAGATACCTGAAAGTAAACAGTGAGGAAGTTAAGAAAAGAAAACACTTATGTCTACCTAAATTGACTATTAATAGAATATATATTTATGTTGGCCCTAATATACTATGCTTAAAGTGGTTCTTTTGTATAGATCAAAAGCACATAGAGGTTTATATGATCAACTGTGTTTTCCAATTAGTGGAACAGAATGGAGGCTGTCCTTGAATCAAGTTATTGAAAATCTGATGAAAGATGAATTTACTTGTTTTATTTGTACATATGGGCCTAATGGTGAGTTATTTGTACAAATCAATCAAAAACAAATCAAATGAGGATTTAAAGCGTATAGTCACTTCTGTGCTGTGTAAAATGTTTATTTGACATAGAACAGTCTCTCTCTCTCTGTGTTTACCTTGATCTGCAGCACATACTCGGTGGCCAGGTCTCTCCTGAACACCTGATTGGCTGTGAGGGTACCGTCTCTCTCCAGCACGAACTCGCCACCCTCGTTCCCCGACAGGATGTGGAAGTCAAAGGGCGGTCCGTTATGGGAGGAGTCCAGGTCCACCACAGACAGCTGAATGATGCTGGTGCCAATGGGCTTGTTCTCCTGACAAACACAGGGCCATGACAGTGAGCAACAGCCATGTGTTTAATCAGCGGGGATAAGGGCTAATGCCTTGAGTGAGTAGTACAACTACTGCAATACTGAATTAAATTAACATTTAGTTTGAAATCACTCAGAGTATTTGTAATGTTTGAACAACAGTTTTACACAGTGCTGAGTACATTAGACATATTTATTTCTCTACAGAGAACATTTCATCATTGAAATAATTGGAGCCATAGAGATTTATATATTTTTTTCAATTTGATTTAATTTATCTGCCCCAGAGGGAAATGCTATAATAATGTGAAATGCTATTGTAGATTTAATATAGCTTTTTAAAATAACACTTTTTACCACACACTTCTCTCCAAGGAAATATGGAATGTTCCACAATATGGCATTAAACTTGTCTCTCTTCATGGAAATGCAGGTGGTGAAATAGAGAAAATGATACTAATTTAACAGATTATAGACTATAGATTATAGATTAAACTGTACATGACTGAACTCTCAGACTTTTAAGAGCAAAGCTGAAGCACAGGGAAGGTCAAGTGCAGTAACAGGAATAAACACAAAAGCAAGTTTATACATTAATTTCATGAAAGGTCTGATATGTTCATATGTGTGTGTATGTGTGAATGTGTGTGTGTGTGTTGTCTTTGGTGCTGGTACCTGTATGACCGCAGTGACATTGGCCGGAGAGAAGGCCGGAGCGTTGTCGTTGATGTCTGAGATGTCGATGGTTACTGTTACCGTGGACGACAGGGGCGGGGCTCCGCTGTCCAGAGCACGTACCGCCAGAGTGTAACTGGGCACCTACAGAAGAACACAGAAACATGTACTTCCTGTTCATTATGCTTTATGTTACACAAGTAGAACATTAAATGAGTGTCCAGAAGAGGGCAGTAAAGGTCTTCTCACAGCACCTCCTACAGTTACAGCCTGTACAAAAATAATTACAAAAGGGAATTAACATTGATAAAACATTGCATTATAAAATGTAACCAATTTAAAATGAGCAGATAGTGATAAATACTTGAAATAGCTGCACTGCTAATGTCTGTATTTACACTTAAGAACTCCTCTTGAATCTTAAGCTGCAGAAGAAGCACAGCACTTATACGTGTGCAGGATCTTTGCATTTTAATGGAGATGTTTACATCTTTCACTGACACTAGCCTCTTGAATTCCTTATTATCCAACTTCCTCTTCTCCTCATCTATACTTTAGTGATTTTACTGCTGTATTTCCTCTGCACTGGTACTATCTTACCCTGTAATTTAGCAGTACTGTCCTACTTCTTGTTTCCAGACACAGAGTTAAACTTCTGATCTATGTTCTCATGTCGTTTCCTCATCACAAACAGACTTGGAGTTGTGTTTTGTTTCATTCACACTTGTTTAACACACAAACCCTGCAGATTTAGGCTGAGTTCTTCTCTCAGACACTTTGCCACTGGCGCCCCACTGTGGCACCTGATTTTCCCAGCGGTTTCCCATCCAAGTACTAACCAGACTCCAAATACATTCTTTACAAGCTTTACTGATGCAACAAACACTCATCTGCATCATATCCTGCTGGATCTACCTCTCTCTTTCATGTCACATTATTGTGTCACTGCTGTAAGTACTTCACAATAGAGTATTATGTTTATACACTATTGATTTCTGTATTTGAAGTATTTACTGTACGCTTTATGAACTCCAATAATACTGTAACTACGCTTATTGTAAATGTAATTCTGTTGTTACTTGTGGCGATGACAATAAATCCTTGAATCTATAAAGCCGTTTTCGAGCCTCTCAGAGTAAAGAGTGCAGTTTGTTGGTACAATTTACACACATTTACACAAATAAAAATACTTTACACTATGGTTAAAGTATAAGTTAAAGATGCATTACGTAAACTTTCTGGTGGATTGTTCGACAAACACTTTTCTCCATTGCTTTGTCTGGAATGTTTCACAGTATGGCATTAAACCTTTTTTATCTTCATAGAGACCAAAGCAGAGCAAGTTACAGGTTAGGTCTGCGGAGAGGCGAGCCTGCTCAGTCAGAATGTCTGTTTTTCTAGGTATTTTTGAGTCATAAAACCACTTGTAATTGAATAGTAAAGTAGTAGAGCAGTTTAATGTCATACTGCGGAATATTCCAGGCAGAGCAGTGACATATCCATAGAAAAGGGTGACCAGATTTTCTAAATTCAAAACTGGGACACACCTGGGTTGGCATGGTTAGTATAAATAAAACTGTACAAAGAACGTGTAACATTGTGCATTCTCGTGTCAGTTATAATCTGAGGGATTTCTGACGCTGCATCTTTTTTTCTTTATGGTCATTTTTAAACACGGATTTGTGTATTTTGTCAGAACAAATGACAATTTATGCTCCTCTTTACTGTTGGCATGGATCAGATTGGTAAAAATTGTGATAGTCCTGTTTAGATCTGATGTAGTCCTGGTTTAGACCTGATTGCTCTTGATTTTAATTATTGTATTGTAATTTTTCTGTTGCATGTTAAGCACTTTGTGCTACATTTTAGTATGGTGCTTATACTAAGTTTGATTGTTCTGGTTTAATCTTAGTTTAGTCCTGGTTTAGACCTGATTTAGTTCTGGTTTAATCTTAGTTTAGTCCTGGTTTAGACCTGATGTAGTCCTAGTTTAGTCTTAGTTTAGTCCTGTTTGAGACTTGATATAGTTCCAGTTTAGACCTGATTTAGTCCTGGTTTAGTCTTAGTTTAGTCCTGGTTTAGACCTGATGCAGTCCTGGTTTAACATTAGTTTAGTCCTGGTTTAGATGCATGTCTCCTGCAGAAAGAGCCTCTGTCCTGTCTGTATCATGTCAGTGTCTTGGAGGATTTCAGCAGATTTCTTCCTAGTTCTGTCAATCAGGTATGACTGGATGTCCGGCTACTGAAATTTGAGATGTTTCTTCTTGTAATTTACACATGCGGGTAAGACGTATCCCCCTCACTAGTGTTCATTTAACATCATAACTTATTTGATCACACGGAGATAAACTATTTGAGTGCACTGACAATATCTCTAGATAGTGTAACAACTTCATGTTAACTCTAGATCCATGTGTAATCGCACAGACAGCGGCATTTTCTGCACTCAGCCTGCATTTATCCGCTGTGTTGCCAAACCATAGACCGTAAATATGAACGGACAATGTGCCAAACAAAGAATTTATCCATATATTTGCCGCATCGTTTTATTAGCAGCAGTAGTGGCTTATAGTCCGGAATTTACGGTATCCCCAGCATGATGCACTGCAAATGATCAATTCTTGTTAGGTGTATTATGTACTAGCATTCACCCAACAGCCAGAAACATAGCAGGATCATCCCACATTCAAAGTATTTTTATGCCTTACTATGCTAATATATACAATACTGCTCTCAATTACCATATAATAACACGGTAAAGCACATTATAATCACTCTTACTATAGATAGATCCTTTCCCCTCTTTTATGTATTTATGTATTTCCAGGTCAGCCTTGTTTACAGTGAGGTATATCTCGTCTCACACTCCACACTCCCCGCTCCTGTTTTATTTTGTTGTTGTGGTTTTTTTTTTTTCCTGGCGAGCTTCATTAACTCAGTTTCATAAAGCAATATGCTCAGACTCAAAATATCCCGCAGCGAACGGACGTGCACGAGCGTGACGGGCGTGCACGTGTATCCGTAGAGTGCACGTGGGTGTGAACTAAAACGCGGCGTGTGAGTGAGCGTACAGTTTGTTAAGCCCGAAGACGAGAGGATCATTATTTATTAGCTGTATATTGGAGATATGAGGGGGCTTATGGTAAAACCGGCGTTGGCTCATTTACTGATGCTGATCTTCTGCCAGAATATATGTGTGTCAACCAGTATAAAGGCACTTTGAATAAGATTTTCACTGTATAATAAATTAAAGCTACAGTATGTAACTCAAGAAAATACTGTAAACTGCAGTAGCTATTTACTGCATTTGAAAATACACCTTGTAAAGTTTCAGTTTCCAAAGCGGTATTGAGGTGTTGGAGCTCCCTCTGCTGTCAGCAACAGGTAGTGCTCTAGTCAAGACAGCAGGAATCGGGACCAAGACCTGTCCGAGACCACAGGGTCCCAAGACCAGGACAAGACCAAGACTTCTGAGGGTCGAGACTGAGACAAGACCAAGACTTTTAAAGATAGAGACCGACACAAGACCAACACTTTTAAACATCGAGATTGAGACAAGACCAAGACTTTTAAACATTGAGATTGAGACAAGACCAAGACTTTTAAAGATAGAGACCGACACAAGACCAAGACTTTTAAAGGTGGAGACCGAGGCAAGACCAAAACTTTTAAAGATCGAGAATGAGACAAGACCAAGACTTTTAAACATAGAAAATGAGACAAGACCAAGACTTTTAAAGATAGAGACCGACACAAGACCAACACTTTTAAACATCGAGATTGAGACAAGACCAAGACTTTTAAAGATCAAGACCGAGACAAGACCAAGACTTTTAAAGATCGAGACCGAGACAAGACCAAGACTTTTAAAGATCGAGACCGAGACAAGACCAAGACTTTTAAAGATCGAGACGAGACAAGACAAGACTTTTAAAGACGAGAGACAAGACGAGACAAGACCAAGACTTTTAAAGATAGAGACGATTTTAAGAGACAACAAGACCAACACTTTTAAACATCGAGATTGAGACAAGACCAAGACTTTTAAAGATCAAGACCGAGACAAGACCAAGACTTTTAAAGATCGAGACCGAGACAAGACCAAGACTTTTAAAGATCGAGACCGAGACAAGACCAAGACTTTTAAAGATCGAGACCGAGACAAGACCAAGACTTTTAAACATAGAAAATGAGACAAGACCAAGACTTTTAAAGATAGAGACCGACACAAGACCAACACTTTAAACATCGAGATTGAGACAAGACTTTTGATCAAGACCGACACAAGACCAAGACTTTTAAACATTGAGATTGAGACAAGACCAAGACTTTTGAAGATAGAGACCGACACAAGACTTTTAAAGGTGGAGACCGAGGCAAGACCAAAACTTTTAAAGATCGAGAATGAGACAAGACCAAGACTTTTAAACATAGAAAATGAGACAAGACCAAGACTTTTAAACATAGAAAATGAGACAAGACCAAGACTTTTAAACATAGAAAATGAGACAAGACCAACACTTTTAAACATAGAAAATGAGACAAGACCAAGACTTTTAAAGATAGAGACCGACACAAGACCAACACTTTTAAACATCGAGATGAGAGACAAGACCAAGACTTTTAAAGATCAAGACCGAGACAAGACGAGAACAAGACCAAGACTTTTAAAGATCGAGACCGAGACAAGACCAAGACTTTTAAAGATCGAGACCGAGACAAGACCAAGACTTTTAAACATAGAAACCGAGACAAGACAAAGACTTTTAAGGATAGAGACTGAGACAAGACCAAGACTTTGAAAGTTCGAGACCGAGACAAGACCAAGACTTTTGAAGGTAGAGACCGAGACAAGACCAAGACTTTTAAAAATAGAAACCGAGACAAGACAAAGACTTTTAAAGATAGAGACTGAGACAAGACCAAGACTTTGAAAGTTCGAGACCGAGACAAGACCAAGATTTTTAAAGGTCAAGACCGAGACAAGACCAAGACTTTTCAAGATCGACACTGAGACAAGATGGAGACCATGGCCCATCGAGACCAAATCAAGATCATCTTTGTCATTTCCTACATTTATTTGTATTTTACAGTTATTTTGGCACATATATATCAATGTTTTTATAAATCTATTTCCATTTAGG